AATGTCTTAAAAATTAGTCTGGGACATTGATTGAATAATAGAACACGTAGTAAAATATTTACAGAGGCCTGGGTAAACTGAAATAGCTTTGTTGGAATTAAACTATATTACAAGTTCTTTCAGTTCGGTTAATTGATGCATGCTTCGTTTAAGTTTAAGCTTTGTTTAATTGATGTCTTTGATGCATGTCAATGCTTTATAACTGTTGTAGGACACTAATTAAACCTTAGAGCAAGTATTAAAACAAATACAGAGGTCGTGGAACACGCCGGAGTCGAGGAAAACAAAGCAAAGACGGGGAGACGGCTCTTAGGGGTGAGAGAGACGGCTCCCAAAGGAGGGAGCTGCCTCCCACAATGCAAGAGCCGGCTCCCGCATGTAGGGAGCCTGCTTCCAAGGCCTTAGAGCCAGCTCCCAAGGGTGGGGAGCCGGCTCCCATATTTTGGAGAAGGCTTTAAATTTTTCTGAGCCTTCTCTTCATCTGAAACACACAGTTATGTATTTTTAGGGTCTGTTTGGTCGGTGCAGGGTATTTTTACTTGGTTTAGACTATTTTAAATCACGTGTAGGAATGTTGTAAACCTATAAAAACAATAGGGAAACATCAATTCATAATTTGATTAAGGAATGGAGTGGGGTGAACTTGGGGAAAAACCTGTAGGTTGTGCACTGTTATGGTTAAGAAATTTATTACTGTAAATTAGAGATTGTTTTTATTTATGATTTAAAGTTGTGAATCATATTTAGATGGAGTTATAAGTATAGTGATTTACCTTAAATTACCTATGCTTTGTTTGGATTAAAAATTGATATATGTTTGCTATTTAACTGCATCAATTTATGGACAAGTTGGAGAATGTAAATGCTTAGATTATTTTAGCAGTTTACATTATTGGAATGTTATTTTTAGGCCCTATATTTAATGCATAATACTGATATATATGTATTAATTTATATTGATGCATAGTGTGGAGTATAATTGATGAATTGCTTAATACTGTTTAATCAATTTTATTATGTGGAGGTATGTATATGCACCGGTATGGGACGGTGGCATATTGGAGATAGATTAGTTCAAACACTAAGTCCTACCTATTTTGAAATAAGATGGATTAACTGCAAAATGTTAAGTCCTACTTATATGTATGTATATGCACCGGTATGGGACGGTGGCATATTGGGGATGGATTAGTTCAAACACTAAGTCCTACCTATTTTGAAATAAGATAGATTAACTGCAAAATGTTAAGTCCTACTTATAAGTTGGTGTCAGGTCAATAAATCTTTTGAATGACACAACTTGAACGGACTTTATATATTTATGTTATGGTGCCATAGTATGAGCTTGAGTCTCAGGACCATGGTTAGGGTGCGTATATCGCCTAGGATGGATAATTGGACGGTGGTTTCTGTTCCCTGGTAGGTCTAGATACACATGACCACAGTATGTGCGATTTGCATGGTATCTCTACTCAGGATGAGACGTACCACTTGGACTAGTGAGCGTCCTATAGTGTGTAATTATATATATATGGACTACTCTAGATATTGTTGAGCTATCTAGGATGTATCTGCGTATCGGGTTTCTGATTGGATCGTAGTAGAATGGGACTTGTATGTGGGCCTGACCCACTCCTTTATTTTTCAGGTGTTGTCAGTTCCAGGGCTAGAACTTGGACGTGCAGAGCAGATATAGACACTCACTCCTCCGATAATATAGGATTTCATTTTATATTCTAGATTAGGATTTTGTCTTCAGCTGATTATTTCAGTTTGGATTTTAGGGGTCCACTAGATGGATTCCCGAGTTGTATCTATTTTGGAGATTTGGATTTTTATTAATCTTTATCATTTGGAGGATTTTAAATTTAGTATTATTTCCAGCTTTAATATTTATTTCGTAAATCTATTTTGTAATCTGTGTTCGTTTATGTATTAATTGTTTGGTATCCCTCGGATCTGTGCTCGGACTTGATCACTCGTGGCTCTAGAATCAAGGGATATCACAGTCCCCGCTGGATCCATCAGTACAGCCGCTTGCGGAAGATCAGTTGCTACGCTTGGGGAATATATAGATATACATATATAGATAGAGAAAGCAAGCTAAAGATATATAGAGAGAGGGATGAAAAAAGGGATCATATGCAGAGACAGAAGAGATGAGAAAGGTCGACCAAGAGTGTTCCTGACCAAAAGGGGTGCCAATCTGATTCTACAGGTTCAGTCTCTTGGGAACCTGGCTACTGTGTCGCCAATATGAAACTCACTCACCCAACCTCTCAATCCTCACCAAACTCGATGACCGGTGGTGCAAAGCCCGAGGACATAACCATGGAGCCCGGTCTTAATCTTACCTACAGTGAACGACGGACACGAAGGGCCTGAGACAATAATGATTCTAGTCTTGAATGGTGGGCATGACGCTCCTCAAACCCAATTCCACAACCACAGTAGCGACGGCCATGAAACACAATCATCTAGTGTTTCAATCAATATGGTTTTGAGCAGTAATATTGTACTACATCTGTGATTGCTAGGTTTCTCTCTCTAAAATTTTGCCCATCATCGTCGTCGGTGAGCTCGGCGGGCTGGTTTAGTGGTGGCTTCCACTTGAACATATCGCCGTTTCTGCAATTGAAAGCTTCGTTGCTCGCGTACGGATCCGCTGTCACCCATATCTGGTGCCCAGATCAGAAGTCGACGCCACCGAGTAGCAGTTTCACGCCACTTTCGTTCCCAGGGGAGAACCAGAATGTGCCGATGATGTTCATCAGACTGTATGGGGAGAACCCGAATATGACGGTGGGTCGGTGTGTAGTAGAAATTGGGGGCGTTCATCAATCTAGAGTGTAGTACAGAAACCCATTGCCACCACCCCCACTCCCACCACCACCATCACCTACCTCACCAACCACGATCCGGCCATTTCTCCATGGTCTTCAAAAATTAAACGACTCCTACTAAAATCACACACCTTGAAACCCCCCAAAATCCACTATCACCACCCTCACTTCCGCCGGAATCTGACAACTCTCCTCCTCTGGTGCCGCCGCGGGTGTATGGTGCTCGTTACAGTCATGATCGAAGAAGAATTGGACTTTTTGTAGATGGTGAACAGTGATCTATATATATATATATACATACACACACACTCTACGTATATAGGCGTATGACTCAGCTGCGTTGGGGAATTAAGGGCATTTTAGTACTTTCATGCGTCTAAGGGTAGTATGGTATTTTAAAATAAGTCAACTATTTTTAACGGTCAACCTTCACCGGAACTTGGCCGGATGGGGTGATCTGCAACTTTTTTGCATAGTTCAGGGGTTTCTTGCATTTTTGAAAGTTCAGAAGATTAGTTGCAAGTTTTTCCATAGTTCAGGAGTTTTTTTTGCACTTAACCCTAAATAATATGTACACACAGACACACAGATAAATGTATGCACCAATTTACTAATTAATCACATTAAATATCCTACCTTTTAAATTTTTTTATATTTAAATTGACAATTAAGGAATTCACTTTTGCTTACGTGGGACTTGAAACATATCAACCATTCATTTTTTTTTTTATTTTTTTTATTAGCCATTCAGATAAATGTATGCACCCACTGTGAGTATGTTCAGGATTTCATTTCTTTGCATGGGTTTTTAAAGCAATTACTGAATATTGGTTAAATGTTGAAATCAACATATTTATCATAAACTTGGTCAGCATTTTTTGCCATTAACATAATTTGTACATGGAAAAATTCATTCTCGACGAATACTGTCTGGGGTACCATCATTGCTCTTTACAATGGACTAATTCTCCAATAATTCACATATCCATTTCCGTGAGAACTTACACTGTGGATTAGGATTTTTTTTTTTGGGGGGGGAAGAACTCACACAATACTCCTACAGAGATTTGAACATTCTATCTTTTCAGTGTATGAAATACTACGGCCACGGACGATCTCGATGATTAGTGCAAAGTTTGAATAGCTAAAAAAAAATGGAATTTTTTATGAGAATGCAAATATGGTGGAACCTGATCTTCTTTGTCCCGCAAAATACTTGTTTGAAAGTTCTGCAGGAATAAAAATGAATTGGTATTGCACTGGGTTAGTAAGTTCTCTTGAATCCAACTATTTTGTTGCCCATTAGAAACTTCGAAACAAGTTGCACCAGTTTGCCTAAAAAGTGTTCTTGATCATTACTATCTAAGTATTGCAAGAGTTAAAACTAATGTATTGTGTCAACGGTAAAATTGCTCCATTGGAACATCAATGTAAGGTTTCTTTAATGTAACGAAAATCACCTCTCCCCATATAATAATGTTAAGGTCATGTACATCTGACTCTCCCCGATTCCACAATAGTGAAATCTGGTGCACTTGACTAACCCTTTTATTAAATAGATTTGGCATAATTTTTCATGCTTAGGCCAAGAGATTTGGATCAAGGCAAATTTGTAAAAGGTACTGCTTCCACTGAGAGACCCAACAGGTAAATGAGAAACCAATACAATCCATGCATGGGAGGCTAAGAGCATAGTTCTTTAAACTTTTGACTTGGTTTATTTTTGGCTTGAAAAGGAGAAGGGGTCATGAAATTATGCTAGAAATCTGAAGTAAAATGAGAGAGAGAAGTAACTGATGAATGATGATCAAATTTGAGAAAAAGGTGACACTGTTCATTTGCCCTCTCCAACAGGAAAATTGAACAAATAATCCACATTCAATCTGCCAAAGGTGTATTCACGACATGGATATTACATAACCAGAAAGTTGAGGAAATGAAATACCACGAGGTCCTATCCTTGTACTATTATTAAGGATAGACAAAAATCAATGGAAAATGATGATGCTTTTTAATTGAAGCTAAATGAACAAGGCACAACATTGGAGGAAAATGAAATGACACACATGAATCACAAAGAATATTGCATTTCATCACAGTAGACATGAATGCAGACATAATTTTCCTATGTACAAGAATAGTAAAACCACTAGCTTATCAGGGTACCAAGTCTCTCAATTTCTGTTGCAGCTCAGATACAGTAATGCTCCTACCATCATTCACCTGTGCATAAAATTATAAATGGAACGACCCATTGTTTCAAATAAATAATTTTAGAAAAAAAAAAAACAATCTCTTCAAAGGGGATTTGATTAGTCGTACCTCTGATTCAATAGTGTGGAGTAATGTTTGGTTCACTTTCGTAGAAATGCAGCAAACAATTGAAAGCCCTTCTTGGATTAGTACACTGAGAACTTTGGAAAGAGGTAGCCCTCCTCTCAAGGCAGTGCCTACATTAACCTTCAGCCCTGTCCTACAAGTTTTAACTGTTATGTTGTCCCCAAGACAATTTCTTTGCGAAAATTCTGAAGCAAATTTGATATCATCTGGATTGGACAGTCTTTTTAGCCCATCAATCTTGTCATTCAGCTCTTTCACCCTCTTCTGCAGATGATTTATATAATTAACTGCCTCGTGCATTTGATCAGATATAGACCTCTTTCCCTGAAATCCATAGATAAAGCCATATAAAAAGTAAAAACTATAGGAAACTATGATTATACACACACAAAGGAAAAAGGTTAGTTGACCTTGAGATACTCAAGAGGAAGTAGTGATCTTAGAGACTTGTAAAGGGTAGCCATTTCTTGCCTCCTCTGTCTTTCAACATCTCTATGTTTGATCTTCTTATAGTCTTTCGGTTTAGAAATGGCTTTTTCAGAAGTGCTCGAGGACTTCTGCCTCCAGACAGAAGCAGGGTTGCTCATTAGATTACTACCATACAGAGAAGGGATCACTAGGATGTCTTTTGGGATTGTGTGTTGTTGGTATGGATCAATTTGGTCAAATGGAAACAATGAAGAAATGGAACCCATTCTAAGCTCAGATTACTCTTTTGCTTTCTGTGGTATTCTGATGTGGAGATGTGTACTAAGCATGAAAATGTTCGCGAATTTAGTGAAACTCAGGGGACTACTTTTGGAGGCCATACATTACTTTCACATGTAGAGAACTACAATATAGATGTATGTATGCTCCATATTTAACCCCCAAAAAAGGAGAAATATTTAAAATGCAATATGTATGCTGAGGACATGTAGAGCTACTTATTGAGTGATCTCAACATCTCTGGATTCCCAATATTGAATATCTAATAATTAAAACTTCTGCAAGAAGGATGAGTTTTTTTTACAGATTGACCTGCTGACTTCAATATCATTACAATCTCAAATTGTCATCACTCCACCTCTGATAGTAATCGCTGACCAAATAAAATTATCAAATGGTTACGAAATATAGGACCATCACCATTATCATCATTGTAGATTTGTAGCTGTTAAGGTTTTTTCCCCCTGCTTTAATATAATAAAAAAAGAAATAAAAAAAAGAAAAGAAAAGTGGAGACATACACATATAAGTACAATATTAGGTTTGACACATTGATCATGAAGATATGGGCTCTGATCTAAATTATTGAATGTTAACCTTGTGTCTTATTGCTCATTAAAATAGCCATATCGGACTACTTAATTCATTGGTTTAATAACTCAATCATTACTAGGTTTAATGCTATAAAACTCAAACCAGCAAGTGTGACTTTTTGTGGCTTGTACTCTGTCAGAGTTCTTCACTAAGATTTCGAAATTTCAACTAGTCTCACTTTTTCCAGAACTTCCACAACACGTTGATCTGACTAGCAAATTTAGAGGATAATCTGTATTCTAGCATTTGCAATAAATAAATAAAATAAAATAAGAAGAAGAAGAAGAAGAAGAAGCAAGAAATGGTTGAGGAGCAAATATAATCCATCTCAAACGACAAAATCAACCAGTGATTGTCACTGCAAGATATAATGCTATCTTTTGAAAATATAGACACAAGCAGCTTCCAAACTTTATGTTTATGTTGCATTACCCTAATTACGGGTGAGAGCAAAAATTGGTGCAGTTCAGGGGACTGCCCACGACAAGGGGTTTGAAAAGGCGGAATGCACCTTAATAACTTCAAGGTGAGCTACCCAGTGTAGCATCAAAAGAAGAACTAAAGGGAAGTTGTAGTGGATTGAATAAATACATTTTTTTACAAAGACCATGCAAGTCAATCCATCTAAACAGGTCATTTTCAATAAATATTAAAAATGATAGATATACTACATTATTGGTTCTTGATTAAAAATTGATTACCATGAGACATGGTTTGATTTCTGTGAGATGAAATAAAATTAAAAGAGATATGTTATCTTGTAGCTATGGTTGAATGTACGTTTGTTCTTGATTGAGAAATTGATACTGATATGTGATGCATATATGGTGTCCTTACATTTGAAAAATAAAAGATGAACAATTGATTAGAAGAAGGTTAATTAAGGAACCAAGCAATAAATTAGTGGAAATGAGTCCAATGATATTGGATTCTTGGTAGCCTACAAACAGTAGAAAGTTGATTGTGCAATTATTTTTAAATATTAAAAGAAAAATATGGAACTACAATCATCATTAGTAAAATTATTAAGAATTGTCATTATTTGTCAGACTTCACTCCACCAAATCACAATAAAGAAAAAGGAAAGGATATATTATTAGATCAATTTGAAGAAGCTCTCTCTCTCACTCTCACTCTCACACACACACTCACACACACAAGATTGCCTGGGTTGTATTGAAGAATAGCAGCATGCACATTATATTTTCAAAACTCATGACATGGCTATTGAAACAGTCTCTGTTTTGTGCTCTTTTAATAATAGCATGCAGGTACAAGTCTAGCCAGTGATCATCAATTTCTTAATAAAAACACTGAAAGATGCTGAAGGCAACATAAATTAAATAATAATGAAATAGTTTATTGAATTAAAACATGTAAAATGCAGCTAATCTATTATATTCATTTCACTAAGAAAATTCGCACATACTAGACAAAACCTCACTTTTATCTTTGCGTGTGACAATTCATGAGAGGTTGAGAGTAACAGAAAATTAATATGGAGAAAGCATGTATGGGACCAACTAATTAATCATATGAAGGCACTGCCAATGACTAAGAAGTTTAACTGTTGTGTTCATGACACGAAGAGCACCTTTTAGTTAATAATGGCCTCCAAGAAGCAAACGATGAGTTGCTGAGTCCTGGTCTGAAGCATATAATGAGTTGCAACATTTTATAACTTTCTTGAGTTATTTTGGTTGAGAAGAGTCGTATATGGTGATTGTGGTCGAGGACATTAGACTGCATAGAAAATATTCTATAATAGCTAAAAACCCAATTCATAATTGCAGCAAAGAGACACAAAGCAACTAACTAATTAAGCATTATTTCATAGGAGGTGCAATGAAAGATTGAGAAATTCAAATGAAGTTTTGTAAGTTATGAGCAAGAGCTAGCCGAGTCAGGTCAATGGGGCACCCTGTCCCAAACTCAAACCGCCAATGGAATTTAAAAAAAAAAACCAGGTTCGGAGTGCCTCGCATTGAAGTCTATGCAAATATTTTTAAGAAAAACAATTCAAACTTGAATAAATTTAAAATAAATTTTTTGTAATAGGGTTAAATATTTAACAATCATAATAACAAAAGTATTGTTAAAATTTAAAATTATTATAAGAAATAAAGGAAAAGGAAAAAGAAAAATTTTAACTAAAAAATATATTTATTTATCTATTAATTATTAATCGGAATGGGACTTTGTAAGTTTTACAATCCGTCTCCGAACTCCCCTTAAACCCCAATTAGGATATATAAGATCCCAAACTTGTCCTAAGGGTGGGGTGGGTTAATTGACATTCCAATGAGGTTATTATTGTCCGACCATAGTTATTCCGAAATTTTAAATTGTTATGAAATGGACCCTATAAATATATATTAAATTATTAATCGATTTAACAATTTTAACTTTGGTCAAGTTACGTATTGCACTGTATGAAATGGAACCAAAACCAGGTTTATCTTATAGGAGTAGTTCAGTGAACTTGACTAATCACTAATTGACAAAAAAATTATCTAAATCAGTTTAGTGACAAAATTTTTATCTAATCAGTAATAAGAAAATCTTAAATATGTTTGAATATTGAACAAGAAAAAGTCGCCCTGAGTTAAATAACAATTTTTTAATACAAGATCGAATAGAGTTCGATGAAGGAATTATATAGTTTATGAACAATAAAAAATAAAAAATTGGAGATTCCTTTCAAATTTTCAATCTACCAAATCCATATCATATCTTGTTAGATGAATTAGTGATGATAAATTATTTCTTTATTAATGTATTCATATGGGCCCACATAGTGCTTTAATTGTATGGCTCCTAGACTGGCCCATTAATAAAAGGTTTTGGGCTGTGAAGTACTTTTGCTTGGGCCCACAAAAACAAAAAACCAATTAAAAATATATTTATTTTGGGCTGTGAAATAGTTTTGGTTGGGCCTAATGGGCTTTTTATGGGAGGACAAGGGACTTATCAACATCATCAGACACACTCTTCGGCTCTCGAATCAAAATCCTCTCTCTCCAAAGAGAGACACTCTTGGTTCTTGGTTCTCTGCTTCTCTCTGCAAAGGTCGGTACGTTCCATTTCCACTCGAACCTACTTCTACTATTTGATAACTTGTTATACTTGGCAGGAATGAATTAGATGCGCTATACATATATGTGTGTGCTTTTTTTCCTAAATCATATATGTGTGTTTTTCTAGTTTAAGATTGATTTTGATTGTTTTCCTAATTAGTAAATGGTTGATTTTGAAGTGCGCTATACAGTAAATGCATCATTATTGAGATTTTATTGCAATTGTTTAGATTTTGATTTCAAGTGTGATGCTCTCTAATGCTGTTATTTGGGTTTAAATGATGCTTTCATCCTAAACTATACGTGTTGCAATGATTGGACTGAACTTTTGATTATTTGAGGACATATTTATTGTCCGCTTTGATTTCTAAGCTTTTTGCACTCTCTCACTCTGGCACAGACACTGACAATCACTAATTTCAATTGGACTGAAATGAAATGAAGCGGGTACACTACCGTGTAATATATATATATATATATATATATATATATATATATATATGTATATATCAGCCCTAGGGTATCCTTGGAAAATAGCTACAAGTTAATTATGAAGAATACCAAGTTATGGAAGTTTCGGGGAATTTAATTTTTGCAAATTGTGGATTAAATTTATTATTATTTTTTTTTTCTTGATTTTACTGATAGGGAATGTGTTAAGTGCAAACAAAAAATATCTAACCAATTTTGGCATAAATACGTACAAAATATGAGACAAAAAAAAATAAAAATAAATAAAATAAATAAAAAAAATAGAATAAGAAGAGAAGAGGAAGGGGGACAAAAATTATATACTGGTTTTCTGATCTCCATTTGAATGTCGGCTTCTGAAAGTGGTGGTGGTCGTTGCAACACTCCAAATTTGTGCAAAATAGTGTGGTTAAGTTTTAAATTTATAAAATGCCACTACTAACTCTAACTACTAAATATAGTTAGGGTGAGTAGGGATCGTCCCAAAGGATTGTGGGCGTATTTGCAATGGAAACAATATATAGGGTTAGTAGGTCGAGTGATCAAAAGGTGGTTTGTTTGGTTGATTAAATTACAATGTAAATGAATGCAATACTAAGGCTTCGTTTGGATACACATGAGAGAAAAGAAAGGAAAGGATTATGAGAGAAGAGAAAAGAAAAGAAAGGGAAGGAAATGAATTTATATTCATGTTTGGATAAATAGGAGAGAAAAGGAAGGAATTGGCAATATTGTTGTTTAAATGGCACAAAAAAGAGAGAAGAAGGGAAATGATAATAATGAAATTACCATTTTACCCTTTTTGGTAGGGTTAGTAGGGCAAAATCATTTCAGCCCTCATCTCTCTATTCTCGTTCTCTCTCTCTCCAACTGCAATCTACAAAATATACAAAAATCAGATTATCAAAACCTATGTCGGCAAAATCATTTCAGCCTCCCTAATCGCCTCATCTCTCTATTCTCGTTCTCTCGTTCTCTCGTTCCTTCTTCGAGCAATCAGCTTTTCAGTGTAGTGCTGGGATTCGAATTGGGTTTAAGAAAATCGGTTCAATTCTAACCTTTGTTTCTGAATTCCATTAGTTATTGAATCGTGCTTGATCTATGTTGATGCGTGCTTGAAGGTATTTTTTTTGTGGATGATGATGATGTTGCCGAGAGTTTTTTGTTTCTAAAACTCGTTTCAAGTGTCAATTTGATGTGAATTTGATTGATTTGGTGTTTGAATTTATGAAATTTTGATTTTTAAAATAGGGTTTTTTTTTTTTTTTTTTCATAAGGTATTCCTCTCTTTCTTTTCCGTATGGGTTTTATTTTAAAATAGGGTTTTTTTTTTTTCATAAGGTTTTTCTGCAACTTCCGGCGACTTTTCGTTCTCAACCTCCCCTCTTTCTCTCTGCAACTGTAAAAATCAAAACCCATATCCGCATATCATTTCAGATTGTTAAACAAATCAAAACCCATATCTATCCGTTTCCATCACTCGCTGTTCCAGTTCGGTCACTGTTCGCAAAGCTTGAGCCGGCTGTCTCTCTGCAACTGCCAATTCGTAGAAGCTTGTGGTCATCAGCATCCATGTGAGAGATATTTTTGTCATTAGCTCCATTTCTCTCCAAATCCTTCCAAATCTTGTCAATTTTGGAGGGATTCCAAATGACGGATTTGGAGGGATTCCAAATGACAGATTTGGAGGGATAGCTATCCTTCCTAATCCTTCCAAATCATTTCTTTCCCCTTCAAATCATCCCATCCAAACACAACACTCCTTATCCTTTCCTTTCTTTTCTTTCCAAATCCCCCCAAATCTTCCCATCCAAACGAAGCCTAAGCAACTAAAGTAAATAAAAGGGTAGAGAACAAGAGAGAGAGGTGTTGGGATCTAAAGGTCACCACTAAACATCACCATTCTAAACATTCAATGTGTAATAAATGAAGGGGAAACATGGGTTGCAATACAAAGAGGTGTGATTGATTGAATCAACAAACATGGATTGACTCATTAAACATACATTGTCTAGACAACCTAGTGAATAGCACAATATATCAAACTAAGCCATTAATCCTTCCTTTAAGTTCACAATTAACACACTAACAAGTTAGAGAATAATACTACTTGCATTCATAAGTATGGAACATCAAACAACAAGCATGGATTGTCCTCCCATCTAAGAAACTAAGGCAACTATACTACAACTAAGCTAGGAACATGAAAATTAAACTAATTAAGCTAAATGAGAGGCACAATCTATCAAGAAATGAGCATGAACCATCAAATAAATCACAAGAGTATTCTATTAAGCACTATGCCTTGACAATATCTAGATTCATAGCATCAATACACATAGACATGCATCAACATCACAAAACCAAGAGATAGACACATGAACATCTATTCTAGCATACATAGACATATGGATAGAATGAAATGATCAATAGGAAGTATTAAACCACACAAATCATTGTATAAACAAGATTCATATATAAATCAAGTGTCAAGATAACATTACAACACAAATCCCCTCAAAATACAAAGCATTAAGGTCTAGAAGGCATGCTTAGAGCTAACTCTAGCCCCAAGAAGATGTTTAGCCACTCATTGATGTGGTCATCCAACCCTCAAGGGCTATCTTCATGGTAGAAATGCTCTTCTCCTTGGTTGAAACCCTAGAAGAATGGAAGAACTCCCGAGAATAGTGTATGTCTCTTTAAGCTCTAGCCTCCTCTCCAAGATAGATGATATATGATATGAAGATCAATGAATGTTGATGAATTATGCTCTTAAAATGGCTCCAAATCCTTATATAGGAGGCTCAAGTGTCACTCCCAATGGTCTGGACTCGTGCACTAAGGTCCGTTTAATGATTGCACAATGAGCCATCTTTTAATGAGCTAGACTCTGTTTTAATTCGGACTTGAGGAGGTTCGATCGATCGAGTTCAGATGAGATCGATCGAACTTTGGCGAGATCGATCCAATGTTGGCGAGATCGATCCATCCTTGGCAACGCCTTTTAGAATAAAGACAAATCTGAGATATTTTTAGGATATTTTGGGATAAAGATAAAAGTGGTAGGTGGGGATAAGATTAAGGAAGTTCGATCAATCTGAGAAAAGTTGGATCAATCGAAGATGGTGAATTCTTTTGGATAAGGACAAAGGCTTGGATCCATCTTGAAATGGCTAGATCGATCAATGTGAGATCGATCGAAGCTTTCAGATTTCCACCACTTTGCTTCATTCTTCCATTCAGCTTGAGATTGCTTCTTTTATGCTCTAATTTGGCTGAATTAGCTTATTTTGGGGATAAGTGTCTGAAAAAGGTAATAACATGAAATTAGTCTAAAACGGGAAAGTAAGATAGATAAAGGTCCTAGAATACCCGAGCTTAAGGGGTTTAAATGCGCACTTGTCAGCGCTCATCAGAAAGTAAGGCCAAAAGAAGCCCAAATTGAGATTCTTTATGATCTTGGCTTGAAAGAAGGGGCGTGTGTTAATTTTTTAATTTTTTTTCATTCTTAACTGTTCATAGGGGCCCATTTATTAAATTATTTATTTGGGGCATGGTCCTATTTACTGCTATGATAGAGAAGTGAAAAAACATAAATATTGGAGTGTAGTAGTTCTTTGCCTTGGGGTTGAAAATTTCTTTACTATTTTGGGTATTGGTTTTCATATCTTGACCTACTTATAATTGTTTTTGTTTGAGCTAGAGCATACTTGCTGCAAATGTATCATTTTGACTGATTAGAGATTTATGTTATCCACTTCAAATCTTAATTGGAAAGTTTGTGATTGATGCTTGTTGAAATTTGTTTTCTTATCTTCAAACATTTTGTTCACACATTAATGTTTCGCTACTTCAAGCTGTGAAATTTGTTGTTGGAAATGGGGAGATTTTGAGCTCTCAGATTAATGTGAGGTCTCAGGTCGTAGTGCAGGATGTTTCTAAACTTGAATACTATCGTAAAAAATAAAGTTATTTTTTATATGAAATAGACTGGGCGCTTAGACACTTTTAAATCAGAAAATTATAAGATTATACTTAGGATACCTAGGAGTTATTTTAATGGTTTTAAAGTGTCCGTTAAGGTCCTTAACTGAAAATCTGCAGTAGCAATACTTGTTGCGAAGAATTTGAAAAAATGGAAGTATTCCAGGAGAAGTAATTTGGTAGGGAAAATAACTAGAGGTGAAGAAATTTAGGTACTCATGCCTCAAGCGAACAAGAATAAGCTGCAAGTCTTGTGTTGCTATTCAGCTCCATCAACGATTTTTCTTGAATATTTCTTTTTCATTTTTCTTTTCCTATCATTGGTTTATTCTGGCATGAGGTACATTTTTTTTTATCTTTAATTTACAGTTCCCTTGGCTCTGCTTATGTATGATACAGGAGGTTAATAAGGATATGTCTTCTGATACTGCGAAGGAAAATGCGTCAGTAGTTGAATCATCAGTGACTGAATGGAAACATGATATGGAAAATTTGGATGATCCAGGTAATAAATGACACGAGTTCTTTTAGCTGTTCAATTTTATTTCTTTATTTATTTTTATGTAGATATTTTGTACTACTACTTTCAACTTTTAGTTGTCAGTATATCCTATTAGTATGTATACATTTGTTTATGGGGTTATATACACTGACCTCCCATGAGGTTTGACCTAATTGCACCCAGATGAAACTTTTCAAGAGTCTTGCACCATCTTCCTGTGACATTTATACACTAGGTACTAATACCCCCCTCCGTACAGAAAACCGTTTGTTCTGTCAACAAAATTGAGTGTGCGGACCAAAATGCCCATCCCTCCATCTGAAATGACTTTGTTAATCTTACAATGACATTTATTTACCAAAAAAAAGATATATATTTTTTATGGACAAAATTGGCCTCAGATAAAATGAAATGAACGTGAAATATTTGGGTCTACAGATTGAAGAAGTCGAAGAAGGAATAGAGATTTGACATAAGAGATACTTAAATGTATGCGTATATAACCTGTAGGTATATCACATCATATGGAGATGCCAAACACTTTTATATCAAACACAAAAAAACAATATCCTTCAATTTCCTTTATTTTCTTTTCCCTCCATTTCTTTCCAACCAAACTGGCCCTTAGTGTTTCTTCACTGTAATTGAGTTACTGATAAAGTAAACCCTAGTTGAAGGGTCTGCAATGGTGTACAAGAGAAGATGGAGGAACTTAGGGATTTGATGGGCTCTTGCATTTCTGACACTAAGTCTCCTTTGGGCAATTTGGTCATTTCACATTTGCGGATATTTTTGGTATTTTTGTATGTTAAATAATGGGGGTATAAAGGTCATTTCATTTTAAAATTAACGCCCGTGAGCTGGATTCTGTTAGAGGGGAGGTCATTGCAAGATTTTTAAAAAGTTTCAGCCGAGTGTAATTAGGTCAAACCTCAGGGAGGTGACCCTTGTTTATGTCACAAGAAACTAGTATTAGTTATAAACTATGAGGGACCAGCCTTAATTAGCAAACTGCTTGATATTATTTTCTTCCATTGTTTTTCTTCCTTTTGTTTTATATTCTTAAGCCTGGTGCAATGGTAAACACTTAGCCCAACAAGTGTAAGGATGCAAATTTGAGTGCTATTGCAGCCACTTTGTTCAAAATAATAAAGGTTAGGTGTGTTCCTAATCTTCTCCTCAAAGCACCCCACATAAGTTGGGACATACACTGTGTAGTTCAAATTTTCTTAAGCAAACCATCAAGACACAACAGAAACCAACAGTTATTCAAGGTACATTTATTCTGATGCACTGCCAGAACTAATGTAAACTGAAGGAAGTGTTAAACTATTGCTAGACAATTTGAGACACGTAGAAAGTTCAAATTTTATGCCAGATCATCCATAGCAGAATGATAAGAATAAGAGCAGCAGCAGTAGTTGTGTTAGTTTCGATTATTTTTTATTTTTATATTGAAGGAGAAAATAATACAAACCATAGAAAGAGTTCTTCTTGAAGGAAATAAGAACACACACACACAAGGCATAGAGACATAAAAGCCACTGCAAACTTGGGAAAAAACCACCGAAGTTCTCTTTAGTACTGGTAATGCAGCCCTTAGTCAAAAAATTCCAGCATCAAATAGTGGAGTCTAAGGACCGACGTGGTGATGAATCAATTTGTTTCTGTTACTCAGTTAAAAGGCATTTTAATTTCAGGAATATTTTTCAGAAATAGGAAGCAAATTTTGAGAACTTCAATCATAATTTTGGTCGGGCCTTTAAGAGTGATGAAATTAGGGTTTACAACTCTACATTGAGTATTTAAGTTGTTTCCTGAGATTTGGGAAGAAGAGCAGCTGTTTAGGGTGTTATCTTATTCTATTGCTACTGTTGCTTGTGTTTGGGTGATTAAATCTAGTTTTATTTCATTTTTCAGTTATCCTCTTCGCTGCTTTTTTGTTCCTTTTCCTTGCTCCATTGCTTTTTGTATCAGAGCAAGTTCTGAATCCCTCGATGCTGCTCTTTGAACATATGGAAATAAGAGGACAGCTCACTCAGAAGCAGTGGAATGAGGTTTTGGTAGATATAACCCATCAAGTGGCTGCCTAAGCAGATTGATGAGCTTTTAGTAGATTTAACCTTCAAGTGGCTGCTTTACCACAAGAAGTGCAGAAATTGCCAAGGGAGTAGTTTGGTGTGTTGGTGATGGTCATGAATTAGGAGAAAATCAACCGCTGCACTCTGAATTTCCACAAAAAATGGACTTCAGTGAAGAATCTGATGTAGAAGTTTCAATGTCTAAAAAGGAGAAACTGATAATCTCAATGACGAAGAGGAGATGTGGCAACCACCTAGCGTTCTGTTAGGGATCTCTGACCCAACCCTAGGAACAACCGCCAAGGGAGAATCATATGGAGCTAAATCATGATTATGGGTGTGCTATGTTACATGGACTCGGATACGGGTGTCAGACACGGGTATGTATCCATGCGTCGGACGTGCCAAATCTCCAAATAGAAGGACACATGGACACGGCTAAATATTCATTTTATTAATTATTTTATTTTATTTTCTAGAGTAAAGTAATGTTGTTATCTAATATAATGTTCAATATAGGCATTTAACTCATTTTAAAGTAATAATAATGTAATCGAATGATTGGATATGTTTTTTAAATACATGTCCAACTAAAATTGTCGGACACATATCCCATACCCATGTCCGAGGTATGTGTCCGGCACGGGTACTTCGCTACTTTTGATGAGTCCATGTAACAGAGTGGGTGTGACAAGGAGCTATAGCTCATCTATGATCAAGAGCCTCAGGAGGTTGATGTAGGGGAATGTGGTGATGTTCTTGATAATTTTGGTAACCGGTATTCTCCAGCAATATCTGATGAGTACTCCAAGGAAGGCCTATGGAGCCAGTTTTTGATGAACACTGAAACACCTAGCTGCCTGAATTTGTGTTGCAAAAGCTTAGTCAGGCATGCACTGTTGCACTGGACAGGGCTTTAATCAGGCATGCACTGTTGCTATGGTCAAGCTTCACACTGCATGCCATTCAGTGTGAGATATTTTTAATTGATTAAACTAAAGTATGGGTGAACTGTATATTAGAAACAATGTTTATAGCAAAAGGTGATTACTGACGAAGCATTGAAAGATGATATGATAGAATTGAATTTTCTTTTTCTAGGATCAAAACCCGGATATCTATAAGAAGGGCATGATTGGAAATGATATTGCACAAATATAATTGAAGTGTTTTCGTGCTAGTGGATGAATGAGTGCTTCTGCGTAGTTCTTTAATTGGTGATGGTAATTGTGTCAAAACTATAGCACCATTCATGCTTTAATGGAGAAGAATTCTGAGTAATTAAGAACATGTTGATACAATGAACATCGCCAAAATGTATTGCTGAAATATGAAAATTTTGATTAAATATGTAGTTAGACAAGAGAGGATTAATTTTAAGATAAACACATTTATTAGAAGTTAGAGGTTATTATTATTTATCTATTTATTTTTGATTGATACAACTTATCTTTTTTAGCCCAAAAAAATAAATAATAATAAGGAAGTTGGAAGGAAAACCAATTGGGGATAAATCAAGAAATAGGATAGTTTGACCATGTGAAACGAAGATCTATAATTGCACAAGTAGGAAGAGTGACTTGGTTATGCTGCGGTATTGGTAGGGCAAGGGAGAAGAAAAAATTGATAAAAGTTGAGGTATATGTATCAATAAAATAGCCATGGATAAAGCAGTAGTATTTATGAATAAGGTGTATGGTTTCAATAAAATAGTAATGGATAAAGCATTATTGCAAAGCATTACTTGTGCCGCTGAACACAAATAGTTAGGACTACTATAGAGTATTTTAATGTAAGAATAGGAAGGTGTATGGTTTCAATAAAATTATAGTCATGAATAAAGCAATATTGCAAAATATTATTTGTGCAGCTGAACCCAAATAGTTAGGACTACTATAGAGTTTTGTTTGTTGGACTAAACAATTTTAAATTTTCATTAGTTGATTCTTCTTTTACTACGACCAAATTTTAAGATTTTGAATGCATGAGACTCGAATCAATTACTTTTATGAATTAAAAAAATGTAATGTTGCGTATGTTTTGTCTCGTGTCATCATAATAATCTTGAAAAAGATTGAATTGATTTTGAAAATTTTTAATAGTTGTAGAAGTTCAGAGGTAGTGCCCCTTGGTGTTTTTCATATGATGTCACCCATTGGCTGGTGTACAGATATGTAAATTGCACTCAACCAAAACAATTTTTTTATCATTAATGTTCTGCCCTCTCTATCCTGCTGTCTTAATACTCTCGTTATCATAGTATTTATGTGTTTGTGTAACTCATCTATAGTATAGATTGCAATATTTCTATAGGAGTTTGTATCCAGTTTACATCCTTTTTAAGAATAATCAATGTTTCTTATCTATGTACTTCTTATCAATCTTAAAATTCAAAATGGCAAATACTGAAATTTTTTTTTATGTAGTGGTTATGAACAAATAAGCTGAAATTTTCTTTCAGAGAGCCCAAGCTACAAACCAGTTGAGGGCCGTCAGTCTGGGGCAGAGGAACGAGTACATCGTTCTGATCGGGTGGGAAATTCTAGTGCAAATAAGAAGGATAAATTGTATGGTACAAGATATTTTATCATCAAAAGTTTAAACCATGAAAACATCCAATTATCAATCGAGAGAGGAATTTGGGCGACTCAAGACATGAATGAACCCATTTTGGAGGAAGCCTTTCGTGTAAGATCCTGTTTAGTTTAATATCATGTACAGTTTTCTTTGTCGTGATGCTTTATAGAGGCATATGATTGTCTTGCAGAATTCTGGTAGAGTAATTTTAATATTTAGTGTCAACATGAGTGGTTTCTTCCAAGGGTATGCCCAAATGATGTCTTCCATTGGGTGGAGAAAAGACAATGTTTGGAGTCAAGGAATTGGTGGAAGGAATCAGTGGGGACGCAGTTTTAAGGTCAAATGGCTCCGGTTATGTGATTTGCCTTTCCAAAGAACACTTCACCTAAAAAATCCATTGAATAACAACAAACCTGTCAAAATAAGCAGAGACTGCCAGGTAATTATAGTTACTCTCTATTTTCCTTTTCTGAATATGGATGTGGTGCTCGAGTGTGAATGATACAGCTCCTGGAGAAGGCTTTGATGTATGACTGGTCAATGTGTTCTTATCAGGAGTTACCTCAGGATATTGGAGAAGCTCTTTGTGAACTCATTGATGGGAATATTGATGTGGATGTCAAACTGAAAAGGTAAAGCATTTCCTTTAATGATTTTTGCGGATGCAGATTCATGAGCCTTGTTTTGTTATGCATGAATGAATTTTCAGGGATGATCATCCTCTGGAAAGGCCTTTTATAGGGAATCCATTGGCTTTTCGAGATGAAGAGTATACTGTGCCTCCAGTACATATGACATGGTCCCAGACACCCATGCTTTACCCTGCCTTGCTCTACCAACATGAAGCTGGACCTAGTAATTTCCCTTTAGAACGCCAAAGATCATCTGAGGTATTTCTTTCTAGGATTTCACCCGTCACTTCTGGGGTATCAATAATTTTACAAGGAAACATCCTCACATTAATGGAAGTCACATTAGTGTACAGGTGGACCAGGACAATTTTTCGCGATGGTCTGCAGAGAGAAGCCCCCTTGGTAGTACCTTGACTGAGGACGATATTCTTGAAATGGTACTGAGTTCTATTTTGGTTTCTATGTTCTAAGTGATTATAGTTTATGTGCATTAACTCAAACCATGGCATTTTCTAAAAGTCACTTTGAGCAATTTCTTGCATTTTACTTGCTTGTAATTGCATAACATGCTGCTGTTCATTCCTGGTATTCTAAATGGCCATGATTTCTAGCTCTATTCAGAACAATGTGGAAAAGTTTTTCTGACATAAAATTATGTCATTCTTACATCTGTAAATAAATTTATCTAGCGTTTTGTAGTAAATTTCATTGGTATTATCACAATGTTCTTCCATTTTATACTCTTTTTGTTGCTTTTATTTCTGAGTAACCCCACAATATCATAGTTAAGATGAAGTATCAATAGTTGAGTGTTAGGACTTTACTTTTTTATGTTTTATCTAGGCTTCTCATCATCCTTCCTTACAGGTGGTTTTATAAATACTTGCTGAGTTCCATCTTAGATGATTTTTGAAATGGTTGGAATTTCCTTGACCATCTCTCTGTTGTAAAATTTAGAAGACACACAGGGTAAGGAAATTTTTTTCCCCTGAACCAGCAGAAAGTGTTAGACTGCTCTTGGGCTTATATAGTTTTCTATCTTGATTGGTAAAGCATCTAGCTTAAATTGGTTACGTAAAATTTTTAGATGATAGCCATAGTACTGGAGAGTGTATTTATGTCTTGAGACTGGTTGAATAATTATGGTGGTCAATTAAGGGCCCTTCATAGAGGAATTTGATTGGTCCATAACTGACATGAATTAGCCACATGGGGACATGTTTTCTACCTTGTAGTGAAGTAGACAGCATTAATATGTTTGCTTTATACCAGCCTACCACTGTCATCTTAAGATTTCAAAGTGTGCTCCCCCTACTTCCTTCCTTACTCCCAGATCCTGAACGCTTGTCATCCAATTAATTCCAAGGTCAGCCAAAGGAATGCCTTTTATTTTCTAGAACACATCTATGGACATGTAGGAAAGTTCTCCTGAGTTTTCTTAACATATCACTAAAATCTGTGGTCCCTAGAAAGTCAAGTCCCATAATGTTTCGAGTTTACATCACTAACTTCTTTACGGATTCAACATTAACAAAAGTTTATATGAACTGGTTTCCCTTTTTTTTTTTTTTTTTTTTTTTTTTTTTTTTTGTGTGTGTGGGGGTGGGGGGACCATTGATTCATGTCTAAATAGGGGTCAAAAATGATTTTTTAACTCCTTTGAAATTTGTTATAAAGGGGTTAGATTTCCTTACGCATTTAGTGAAAAGTTCTGGTGAGAGTGGGGCCAACCTAACAGATGTGGAGCAAGACAAGGCAGTATCTGAATTCGAGGTTTTCCAGCTAAGGGTGTTTTTAAGGTTCAAAGCATTCAATCCCATTCGGTTAGTGCATTAATTTGCACTGTAGGACATATTTATAGAGGGTTTGGGGCTATGAGGAACATAGGCCACATGGCCCAAATTCTGAGCATGACTCTGCCAAGATAGCGTGGATAGATATGAGCTTTCAAACCCGGGCCTACTATGCATGCAGTGGGAATGCAATTCGGCTCTTTTGGCCAGGCTGAAGTGTGTCCTTGCCATTTTGGAGATGCTCCAGTTTGTCCCCGTTCTTACCATCGAACCAAGAACCTCCGGACATCAATCCTGGTGGCATGGTATGGGACCATGCAAACAGTAAGCACAGGACCGCTTCATTGAGAAAGGTCCCCCTGCCCTGCGTCAGACCTTGACAGTTATCAAGCCATAAAGTGCCTTTACTGATTTCTCATCACTCTCGAGTGATGGCTTCCAGATGTGGAAGGGCAGCCAGAGGTATATTTGGGAAATCACTGTATTAGGAATTTAGGAGAGCCGATGATTTACAGAAGAACACATGGCATGCATAGTTTCTGTAGAGCAGTCCACATGACAACCTGATAGGAGAATCTACATGAGAATTAATGCCATTGAACTCTCACCTATTAACAAAGCCAGCACCATCTTTTGGATGCTGCTTAAAATATATATAAAATAAATAAAATAAATAAAATAAGGGAAGAAGAAAGGATGGGGGAAGAGGAAGAGGAGGAGATAATAAGGTAGAAGAAGAATTGTGAGAGGCAGGACGTGGACCTGACTTCCATGCTTTTTAAATCACAAGATAGATGAACAAAAAGAAAAGAAGAGAGAGAGAGAGAGAGGAGAATACAAAAAAGTTAGAGGATGAAATCTCTTTAATAATTTAATTTCTACAAAATTTTCTCTCCCCTTTACAGCCCTAGCTTGAGCCTTTATTTAGGCTTTAGCATTTAACCCTAAAAAACCAGAACAACCTATTACCCGTAGAAATATGGAAAATAACTTCCAGAACAAGGCTCTCACTACCATGGAAAGTTTCTTATAAGTTAACAAAATTGTGGGTACGGAAATAAAAATTTAAATCTAAATTAAATAAACTGTTACTGAAACTGAGATACTGTCTATGAACTTAATTCTGAACCTAATAAGACTTCCTGAATTATTGATTTGATTACATGCATCATATGTTCCCATCTCAGCAAATCAATATTGCATCAAACTTATTCATAGTGGAGTAACCTTTTCTTCAAATTGTAATGACCTTCATTTGATAATTTCTTTCCTTGACAAATGAATTATCCTTGTTTATTTACTGCAGTCATATGAAGAATACTTGGAGGTCCATAGCAGAAGCAACAAGCAATTATATCACCATGTTAGTATACTTCTCTGATATTATTCCACCGACGTAAGATTAGTATAATCGCTCAATTTGCTTTATTCCATGTTACTTCTCCACTCACTCTATCCTGTTTGGGGTTTGAACCTTCCAACATTGTCTTTGTGGGTGGATGAGATACCTTGTTAATTCTTGGTGGTTGCAGTCCTGTACACCCTCCCTCTCCCCCCCCCAAAAAAAAAAGAAAACGAAGGAGGTCTCCTTTATCTTTTTCTTTTAATATATTTTTTTCTCTAGTTTTACTTGGGTCATCCAACAATTTCTTTTGCGGATGGCGTAGATGGAGACAAGGGAGATGCTGCGTATTTATTAAAAATTTAATCACTATTGTTAAAGGTGTATAGTTAGCTCATTTATTGACTAGCATTGGAATTTTGATTGCCCAAGTTCTTGTAGGTGTTTTGAATTTGATGCATCTTTCTTATCTGTCCACACACGACCCAGTGTTGATTTAGGAAATCTTTTGTTTGGGTTTACAAGTTGGACAGTACTTATTGATGATAATATGAACTTCAATAATAGATTGGCAGTGTTGGGAGAGGACAATATGTTCCACATTGAGGAAGACCAACAACAACAATAAAGCCTTTTTCCCAACTACTTAGGGTCGGCTACATGAATTCTATGTTTCCATTCCACTTTATTTAAGGCCATAGCCTCAATTAATCCATATGCTATCATATCCTTCCTAACTAATTCTACTCACGTTAACATTGGTCTTCCTCTTCCGTAGTATTACCCTCAATGTGGATTATGGACTATGTCATTTTTCCTAACTGACACACTTAAAGGTCTTCTTTGCACATGTACAAACCATCTTAGCCGATTTTCTCTCATTTTATCTCCAATCTGTGCTACTCCAACCATCTACTGCACATCCATCTCAACATTCGCATTTCTGCCAACGTTGAGAAAGACAGTTATAGTAAATTAAATAAAAATAACCACCACCGCCAAGTCTATTCTCAATTACTTGGGGTCGGCTACATGAATCATATGTTTCCGTTCCGCTCTATTTAAGGCCATAGGTTCAGTCAATCCATATTCTTTCCATATATTTCCGTACTAATTTTACCCACATTCACTTTGGTCTTCCTCTTCCACTAGTATTATCCTTGTTAAGTCTACTCACGTTTAAAATTTATATAAAATAGTAGCTGAAATAGGGTTCATATACTCTTTTGGATCCAACTGCAAGAGTGTTGAAAAAATAAAATGATCTATAGGTGCAAAATACAGACTTGACAGGCATTCATGACTCATCTACTGAATTCTATAACTATATAGGTCACCCCTCTATTAGGTTGGAACTTAGTAGTTCTGTAGTTGAAACATAAAGGATATGAACTATAAAATTGGTTGTTGGTTTATGTAGGAGGAGGTTGGTGAACTCGTACTGTGAGTATATACAGCGGAAGATTTAGAAAATTTTGTATTTTTAGAAACAGATCTGTGTCTTTCTAACTTTACTTATTTTAGCAATTAATCAATTAATCAATTAATCACATGCAAGATAAAATAAAGCAAAGTAATAGAGTTAGAGATGACACCAGGATTTTTAGCGAGGAAACCGTAATTGGTAAAATAGACCAACTGTTTGCGCGGGAAAAACCTCGTGGACTGTGCAGTCCAAAGTAAACCGATTCACTATATTAGAAACAAAGTATACTGAACTTTGACTCAAGCTCACACCCTATCGTTCTACCAAACACCAATAGCTAATAATCCTCTGGCTTTGCGACATCCCGTGCAACAGCACTTGACCTCAGGCTTACTTTTGATCTCTGTAGAATGATTGCTGGTAGATCAAAAAACACTCTTCGAATGCTTTGACCCTTTCAAAGTATGATCGCTTCACCTCTGTTCTTCAATATCTGAATTTGATGTAGAAGTAGATCTGCTTTTCTCTGATCGTTGTAGATGCAAGACTTTGTTCACGATCAGGATTTGAACAATACTCTAAACTCACTCTTGTGTTTATGTGTGTGTTCTAGAAAGAATAACAGAAAAATCAACTTTGATTTTTTGCAAAAATCTCCCTCTAAGGTTTTTATGAAATATGAAGTTGTAATGCAAAAGCCATACAAACCTAGATGAAAATCAAGGTTTATATAGAATATTAAAAGACCTAATCATACATAAAATAAGGGAAATTTCGTGCATAGGACTTTTGGTAGTATTCTAAACCAACTAGGAAGCTTGAAACAGAACAGGAAACTTGAAATCCTAAACTGTATAAGCAGTTGGTACCGGTAGCCATATGTGGAACCGGTTCCGAAAGGATAGAATTGAATTCTTCGAAGCTAAGGTTCTTGAACCGGTTCCCAAACTTGGTACCGGTTCCCACTTGACAGAATTCTGAAGAAAGGTTTGAAACCAACTTGGAAAATCCTGTTTTTGGTAACTTGAAGAATATACCATATAGGTATAGTGTTCTAAGTGGGAAACAACTTCCTAAAGTGTTATTCTTTCCTTGTTTGTAGATCTCAGTATAAACAATCTTTCAATTCCGCAGCCGATCTTGATCTTGATATAGTAACTTGAAATTACAACTCGATCAGACTTGTTTTGACATCGAAATTTGCCTATTACAAAAATTATATCTCACACGTACTAGCCTTTAAGCAAGTCTATGCTAACATAATCAACACCATTTTATTGCCGTGCTCTGCTAAGAGTTATCATTGGGACTCGTAGTAAGACATGTTAAAAGTGATGTTTTTGACAGGCAGCTGGACCATCATGGAGAACACAGGAGTCAACTGGTAAAGAGCATGGTGATGACTTGTAAGTCCATTTGAGTTTTATTGCTGAGTAACAAAGAGTCATGATGCTCCATTTGTTTAGCTTGATGTGCATATTTTTGCAGATACTCACACTGCCACTCCAAAAAGAGAAGTCGTCATACACACCACAAATGACCGCATTTCAAGCAAACCCGGCTTTCCTTGGTGTGCTCTCCTGAATACTGGACAATGATTTGATGGAGGTTTCTCCAGTTAATCACTCATTATTGTTTTAATCCCTAGGATTGGGACGTAATGTTAGTGATGTTGTATTCATAGTTGTACTTAATTAAATGTTAGGACCCTTTTTTCTTTCTTTGGTTGGGGAAAGGAACCACTTTGTACATAATTTGAATCGGCAGCATTGACAGACTTCGTTTTGTTTGATTTTTTTTCCCCCTACCTTTAGTAGTTGGTGGGGATAGAATGCTGTTGCAAGGTATTGGTAAACTGTAATATCTAATATCTGTTTACTGGTCTAGGAGTTATAAAACTCTCACCGGCCCCTCTTAATGCCTTAAAAATCTGATGGAATGGATGTATATAAATCCTGATGGAATGGTTGTATATTTTGAATTAGGGTGTCATCCCATTTTGTCTCTCTCTAATGGAAATGGGAAAGGCTAAAAAAGCTGAGATGTAACTGAAAATATGGAGAAGAAAACTCCGGTGGGGAGATAAATTCTAGAACAATCTTACCATGATCCGTTTTCCTCTATGATATGGTCTTGTTGGTATTCTCTTATGCCAAGTGAATTACATATACGAGACTCTATTACATGAAACAGTCCAGCGAAATATCATATTTGTACTATAAAATTTGGGCTAAATTTCAACATTTTGTACAATTGTCTGGCAATGGGATGTTGTTTGTCTATTGGATTAATATTTGTCCCATACATGGATAACATGTACTAGAATCTGGTTTAGCTATTGGATGGTGTTTGTATACAGGTACAAAAATTAGAATCGTGTATTTTCGATTTGGTGTTTCTATGCTGCTAGCACACCTGATACCATTCAAGAAACTGGCATCCAGAAATGCAATTGCAAACTCTTGAAATGGCAATGTTGCTGTATCTTGTCTCGCCCTTCCAATAATGTATATAACATGCATGTCAACAGAAGGCAATTGGTTACCCAATGTTGGTTCTCGTTCCTCTCAGGTTTGGACGCTAGGATGGCTAATTGCTGCAAAAGTCTTGGATGCCAGTTTCTTGAATGGTATAGACGTGAAAGTGATCGCACCTCTGACTTGCAGAAAGTCAAGTTTTTCCTTGCACATGTTTGTGTATTCCCAAATACGTGCGTATGAATATCGACACTAGCAGAATCAAACATTTGGATTTGCGGAGAGCGTAAAACTGTGCAAGGAGGAGAATGTGCTGCCTAAATTTCAAATTTTGGGGATATTCAAAACTAAGAGGGTTTATTTATCTTAAAACATAAATTAAAATCAAAGTCTTGACTTGAGTGGTCTGGTTGATGATTCAACCCCCACTGAAGACGGGTGAAAGTGTGCCCAGAGGGGGGCACATGCCCCTCTTGGCCTGGCCCCGACCATTATAAAATATAGTAATTTTTATTTTAATTTGTATATTTATAAGAAAATTTCTATATAATGCCCAACTAAAATTTTAAATTTCTAAAATTGTCTTTTAAATTTTTCTTTCCTTCTTCTTTTGCTCTTAATATTTCTTTGATTTTCTTAAAAAAAAAAAAGTTAAATTTTCCTTCTTTACTCAAACTCTAATTTTTTTTTCTTTTCAAATTTCTCATTTTACTTCTTCTTCTTTTTATTAATTTTTTTTGGCCCCTTACTTCTTAACAATCTTCTTTTTACACTAAAGAATTATATATATAGTATGTAATTATTATTATTATTATTATTTTTACACTATGCCCCCACTGAATTAAAATCCTGGCTCCGCTCCTTACGGGAGATATGTGTGTTGTATACAAATTTAAAACCCAAAAAAAAAAAAAAAAATTCTTATGTTGGCTACCAAAAAGTTTTTAATTAAAGTTTCCTAAATGAACTTGTAACTCTATTGAATTTGTATCTCATTTCTAAGTTGGATTTGCTATGATGCCATCAGAGGAAATGAATGGTTTTTTTTTTGTTTTTTTTTTTTTTTTTCCTAGTTGGTACTTATACACACGTTTCTTCTGAAACCTGAACCCCTAACCTCCCTTTGAGAAGTAAGAGACTGATATCGTTAGGTCACTGGTCCGTTGATAATAAACGGTTACGCCACACTTTGCTACTATTGGTGATCTTCATCTTCAATTGCACGATCGGTTTGTCAATCTTGAGTTAGGATTTGTAAGGAATGGTCGATGAGTTATGGTTTGAGATGAACAAACTTGAGTTAGGTTTTGAAGACAGATTGAAAGGCTTGATTGAGATGGAATGATAAGTCGAATGAGCCATCGAGAGATATCATTGAGATTGAGTGAGCGATAGAGAGATGTTTTGTATGGGTTGAAATTTTGAGACGATTTTGTATCTAGGATTAATCTCAAACTCGCATTAGTTTATAATATTCAAATTGTTGGATTTGGAATTAGAACTTTCAATTTCAATTCTAAAACTCCAACACAGGCTACTAAACATATTCTAATTTTTTTCTAATTTCAATTCCAAAACATCAATTCTAAAACTTGCGATATTTTGAGCTACGTTCACAGTTCCATTTCTCTTTTCCTTTGTGGCAGTTTTTAGATTTTAAGTCTGGCAATTTTCAAGCCCAACCTGCAAACAATGGCCCAAATAAACTGGTCCAGTCCAATCAAATATGTCCAGGACAGGGTGACCCGAATCAAATCCAAATCAGCCCTATCTCCGAGCAATATATTACTGTACTATCTGTAAATCCTCCGATTTCTGTTAACGAATCCCTGTCCTTGCTGATCGATTAATTTACACATTCTTCACTTTATACACTGTTTTGATCATATATATATATACAGCGTTTTGGCTACATATTGTGTATATATATATATATATATATTTATATGTATATCTATAATGGAAAACGGTGGTGGTGTTAATCAGAAAATCAGTGCCAACGATGTTATATCGAAGTTAAAGGACGATGGTGGTTTTGATATGCTTCGTTTGAAGATCATCCGCAAGCTCAAAGAGAACGTGAGTTCCCTGTATTTTCCGATATTTCTCCATCTTTTTACTTTTCTAGGTTTTATGTTTTATTAAATTTTTTTATTTTTGGGAAAATTTTATACTATAGATGGGACTATGATTCTTCCTACTCTGAAATTAAAGCTTTTCTCAATTGAATAGTCTTTTATTTTATTTTATTTTTTTTTTCTGGGTTTGGATTAGTAGCTTCAAAGTAATTGTTATGCATCTTGATTATTGAAGTTAAAAAAATAAATATAAATATAAAAAATCTTGATTATTGGGTATAAGTATATTATAATTAGTAGTTTCATGGTGTGAGCTTCTCTGAGCTCCCATTGATCTTTCATGATTTTGTACACATCTACTTCGGTGAAGCATCATATGAATGTAGATATACTAAAATTATAGAAAAAGTACTAGTTGGTACACCAACCTAAGAGTCTTAGCTGACTTCAAGTAATGGTATTAACATTGGTTCAAAGTTTTTTTTTTACAATAAGTCCATGTTTAGGTTGTTAATATGGGAATGTGGGTTATGTGCTGTTTACTCATGCCCAAAATAGGCTAAGTGAAATGGAGAGTTCCCGAAGAGATACGGTACTGTAGGGAGTGATAATGTTGAACTTTCAGCTATTGTTTAAGCTACATTCTTGTATTGGGACAAAAGTTGATCCTCCCATGTTGATCATACAAGACAAAAGTTGTTGTTTTAGATAAATAAGACTTTCTTGATTATTTAACTCAACAAAGCCTTGAATTTAATTGTAGATGTTGCTTTTCAGCATTCAGTGATGCCCACAGATATATATGATGACATCAACCAACATTATATTTGCCCTAAATATGGTGATGTTAATCCTTGAAGTAAGTGATGGATGTTGGAAAATGACTTATTACAAGAATAAATTAATATTTGTTCCCATAAACCATGTAGTACCAAATTCTAATGAACGGATTTTAATTTATATATTTTCAAGGAGTACAACTCTTATGTTTGAGATGTACGATAGAACCATTTGTTTCTTCTCTCTCTTTCATACGCACACATTGATGTTGCAACGAAATATTGCTGCGGACTCATCAAAATAAAATCAACACTCTTACATTTAAATATTTTTTATTTGATTTTAAGTTTTTCTGTTAGCATTTTAATTTCAATCAGAGTCTACTTTCTTTAGATTTTTTTCCCACAAATATCTATAATGGAAGTATGAAAATTAACATTGGTGTAACTGATAATTTGTATTTTAGTTACTTTTCTATATTTGTTTTACCTTTTAACATGTCTAGATACTAAGTGAGCCGTCTCTCTCTCTCAGTTTCCCATCTCTTCTTAGCCTCCTTGTTCTTCTCTTTAGTGATCAAGATGTCAGGAGGTCACCTTTGCAAGTTTGCACCCTCACTCTTGGTCCTCTTGAATTTCTTCTTTGACTTTCCAAATCCTTCAATTTGTCTTTCACTTGCCTCCCTCCCCCCTCCCCCTTCTTCCCCCGGAAAAAATTAAGGGAAAGAAAATAAAGGAAACAATTTTCTTTTTTCTTCTATATATTAATCTCTTCTTAGCACGGGTTGATTTTATTTTGGTATTAGTAAATTTAATCTTTGGAAAAGGACTTGGTTTGTTATCATAACTATCTGAAGGAGCATTTATCAAATTGTTCCTTATGAAGTTAGAGAGTTTTAAGTCAAAAGTCGTAATCCCTTTTCTTATGAATTCATTTGTAAACTGATATTTGATTAAATCAGTGATTATGGATTGTGAAGATTTTACTTTTCAAAAAGAAGGAAAAACTGTTGATGGTGAAAGTTGATGCTCTCCTACAATTTTAATTTTAAGGAGTTTTTTTTTTTTTTTTTTAAATGGTTTTATTTATTTATTTATTTCTCTTGAACTTGTTATAGAGATTCATATGAAAATTTCCATGGATGTTAGAACTTGTTTTGGGAATTATTTCAGGTGTTTGAAATGTGCTTTCCTACCATGTATGGGTATTAGGTTTGGTGGCTTTTGATGCGCTTAGGAATGTCAGATTAACCCAAAAGGCTCCAACTATGGCTGTAAAGGAGTGATATCATGCAAGATAATAAATTTATTGAATAATTTTGATCTCTCACTCTCTCACACACATATTTTCCTTTGTCCATTCTTGGCCTCCTTGTTCTTTTCTCTCATGATTGAGAGGCTTTGAAGTTGCTTGGGCACCCTCCGTGTTCGAATTTTTTGATCTTCTCCATCTCCCATCTCTTTCCACATTTTTTTCCCCTTTCTATTTTCTTATTTTCAAGAACTCTAGTGAGGCTTACATTGATCGTTGTGCGCGCACACAGAGAGACTACTTGATCAGTGGAACTCTTACAAAGAATACTTGAAATAACTTTTTTGATCGTCGAGGATTATGCTTTATAAAGTAAGATAGTGATCAGTTCATCAAAATATTGTGTAGTTGTTGCAACTTTGGTGGATGGTGGTAATAGAAAACTGCCTGATGCAGCTATTGCTTTACTACATTATGAAGATAATGAACTTTACGAGACCTAAAATAACTCTCTTTACCTTCACTCCACATTATCACTATGGAGTCTGATCATTTATGTCTATTTTGTTATTGCTTTTAGTTCATCGTAGAAATGCTTTCTGTGGATGGTGGGTGGACATGTGAATGCTTGCTTCTAATTTTGCAATTCATTGTTTTCCATATATGGCAACTTACTGCAGGAAGAGTTGCGTAATAGCATTACTTCAATGGTGAAACAATCAGCAGCACTGAATCGTCCAGGCGCTGAGAGCATGAAACCTCGGCAGCTTTCTGATGCCATCCATCAAGAAATTGGGTAAGTTCTTTATTTCTATATAGTTGTCATTTAATTTTCCAGTGGACTGACTTGGTGCTATTTTGGTTTGCATGTAGTTTTAGTAGGTGATATCTTGCTAACTACTATGAAATATTTTGTTAAATCATACTTTGAGGTCTGTAAGTTGAGATTTGTTTTCTTATATTTGGGATACAGTTTCGAACTTGAGATTATTTGAGCAATTTTGGGATGAGAAGATATAGGTATGCAGCACTGACAGATTTTGAAAATAACTCCTGGTTTAATTCAAAATTCTTAGTTGACGACTTGACGTGTTAAATATACACCATAATATTTAGTGTCAGGTTCTAAATATAATTTCATGGTTTTCTTTTGATTAGTATTCAACGTGGTTTTTGTTATTGAGTACTGCGATAAAATCATTTGAAACTATCTTTATGAACAACTCATGAATAAAAGAAACTTGCCAAGTATTGAAATTTCACTGCTAAATTTCTTGTATTCATGAATTGCAGGGACAACGTAATGAGCCAAATATCTGATGGTGTATGGGAAATAATCAGATCAGCTGATGGAATGAAACGTGAAATTACAGAATCAGTCCAATCTGTTTACAGTAAGTTACTAAATCCAAAAGAGAACGAAGAGGGTGAATCATCCTCTCCCAATGGCGTGGTGGTGCCACTTCAGACGGAAGCTGGTAATGGTGGCTCTACCACGGTTCCAGTGGGTGAAATTGATGGCACAATGTCCGACAATGAGCCAAATGAACCACCAGGTTTCTCTCTTGGTCATCAAAACAGCAACCAGGAGGAGCAACCTAAAGAGGAGCTGCAGCTGCCTACATCTCATGATGGGAGACCCACTGAAGATCAGAAAGAAGAGCCCCATCCCTCACAAGATGATGTAGAACCCGACAATTTGGATCTTAGTTTGCCACCTGGCTTTTCCGCGATTGTGGAACCTAAGAAGCCATGTAATGGTAGCGACGAGGACCCTGATTTGCCTCCGGGTTTCGGTTGATGAGTAATCATGCAATTGGATCAGTCATTGCTATAGTATAAGCACACTTAATAGACTCTACAGAAAAGGTTTTGGCATGAGTACTGTACAAAATCTTGGCGACTAGCTACTGGTCTCCATATTAACCATTGTTAAGAGGTCAGAAGGAGGAGGAGGATGATGATGATGAGATCCTCTAGATTGTTTTTGTAATCCAAGATTCATGAATCACAAAAAATTAGCCAAAAGGCACCATCATAGTATGGTGATTGCATATAATCTTTTATTTGCTAATTCTAGTTATTTCCATGTTGTAACATGTAAATCCTTTCTCTTGGTTTATCGTGTTAGAAATTTATGGTCTCAATTTGCAGTTTATGCATGAGAATAGCTGTGTTTGAAATAACAGCCGTATCAAACTGAGACAACACACCTATTTTACAAGATTTTGCATACTCTATGCCAGGGATATGTTGAGATTGACCATAACACTAATAAGTAATTGTGGTGATGTATGTAAATCAGATTTGTACCACTCATCGGATATGTATAGAATAAGTTTTACCATGAATATGACTCGATGAACACAGTTCTGAGCCCAATCATGGAGTTTAACCCATATTTTGCCATGGAAACTGAACCTAATCTATCCAGAAAAATTCTCGGAGTTGCGGCAACTTTTCTGGAGAAATTCCATGGTGATTTAAGATTATTTCTTCAAATTACTCTCCATTTCTAAGTTCATAGTCTTGCCGTAGCTTCGTCAATGTTACCTCAGTCAAAAATCACACAAGACAAGGAAAGTTGTCGGAATCTTACAGCACCGATGACCTTACCAGAACTACCATTACTGTTGGCAACATGACACTCAACACAATTAATTGATAGTGAAAACATTATTGCTGGCCGCCGTTAATGAAAATAATTTTTCAAATTTTGTTGGATCATATATCCGTGTGGCCCGTTGTTAATGAATTAAGGTGCATGTACCCAATAACCTAATCAGCTCTCCGAGTGGTATTCCCCATGCCAGGAAAAAAAAAAAAAAAACATTGAATCATGGTGGGTGCGTGTAGTAAGTACCTTGTTTCATTTGCATCCCGCAACACACTCCCCCTTGATTCATTTGCATCCTGCAAAAAGTCCTTTTTGGTGCAAATAAATGGGTCTAGCCTTGACTTCAAGCCCATACGAAATTTTGGATGGCCCAACAAATATTACAAACATTTACTATGATTTATGGATGCATCTAGAGACGTGAGAGAAAATCACAAACAAAAACAGAGACTGAGGGAATAAAAAAAAACAGAATAAAATGGCATTTCTGAAGTCAGTGGCTACCACAACAGCCATAGCAGCCTCAGCTCTGCCCGCTGCTTTCGCAATCGCTTCTCTCTCTTCATCGTCTCCGTCTTCCTTTCCGATCTCCAAAACCCTAAATTTCGCCTCCTTGTCATCGTCCTCGTCGTCGATTTTTACCCCAGACCGCTTGGCCCCCATCAAGAGCGAGTTCACTCGCCCTCCCTCTGCCCTTCACATGGACGCGCCTCTATCGAATGGCAAACCCTCCTCACAGGTTCAGCTCAACAATCCTCAAATACCCTTTTAATTTTTCCACCTCTTTCTCTCTCTCTCTCTCTATATATATATCATCTTTTATTGTATTAATATTTCGTAATCTGATTTGTAGGACGATGCCGTATTGCCGGAATTACTGGTGAGTTTAACTCTGCATATACACATATATTGTATTGTTTATTGATGTTTAGATTGTTTGAGCTAATTTTGAATTCAAATTTAATAATTATTATGTTCTAGTCCTTGACGATGTAAATTGAGTAAATCAGCTAACTATACTAGTATTACCAGACAGAGTTCATGGTGGATATGAAGTGTGAGGGTTGTGTTAATGCCGTTAAGAATAAGATACAGACTGTTAATGGTACGTGTTGACCAAATAGTGTATGAGAAACTACTACTTGTTTGTAATTGCTTCATTTTTTTAATTATTTTGATCTCTTGGGGATTGCTTTTTTAGGAGTTAAGAATGTTGAAGTGGATTTGAGCAACCAAGTGGTTAGGGTTCTTGGGTCTTCGCCTGTTAAGACCATGACTGAAGCTTTGGAGCAGACAGGTCGCAAAGCCCGATTAATTGGCCAGGGGGTCCCTGAAGGTTGCCCACCTAACCCTTTTCTTTTCCTGGTAGAATTGATTTTCTTACGTTTATTTCATTTTTTATTATTTTCGATGAACTGGTTAGGTGGACATAGATATCAAATTGATTATGATAGTTACTCATTCGACCATCTTTTGTAGAACCTTTTCCTGTTCAAGAAGTTAAAAGGAACGATAGTATGATATAGTTGGTTCTTTCATTGTGTTTGGGGATTTCAATCTAATTTGCAACTTGCAAGTGCTGTCAGGTAGCTTTAGTGATAAGATTAGTATGTGAAACACATTTTATCAGTTCCTATGTTGCTAACTTAATATTGCAAGAATATTGATTATGAAACCAAGGTAAGGTTTTGAGGAGAAAAATAATTCTGGACTAATTATGATGATATTCCCTTTGAATGATTGTTAATATTATCTGATTATGACATTCCAATGAAGTTAACGCTGTAAATATGCGGGGAAATTTTTTTCTTTACTTAAGCGGTTGGAATTTGACTCTTCAAATTCTTTTCTCGTTTTTCTCATTTGAAGCTAACTTTGGCTAGGATCCCTATGAATTGCCAGCGTGATTTGTATAGCCTACAAAGGAGGAATGAGCATGTATGCTATGTAAGTCAAAAGCAATGGTACTTACTATGGTCCTCGACATGGTTGTTGACATTTCAACCTGTAGAATTCATGTCATGAAGATAGAAAATCAGTTTTCTATTAACTATAAACAAAACACTAAAAATCAATATTTTACTGCTTTAGCTACAAATTTCATAATATTACGTAGTTAAAGAAGAGAATGACTAGACATAGTTCATAAACAAATTAAGTAAAATTACTTTATTGCTAAAAAAAAGTGATGATTTGCTCATTCCCTCTTCTTTAGACTCACTTGCCTGATGTAAGAGTTGGATTTTATTAAGATTAACCACTGCATGAGAACCTTTTTTTTTCCTAGTTACCGCTTGGGAACCTTTTACTAGCTCTCCTCGAACTCCACCTTCTTTAGTGATTTCATAGGATCTGGAATCACAATCTAATGATCTACAACTGTTCCCCATGAAATTTTTAAATAAAATTGGTTTATTAAGATTGCTCATGAGTCCTGAAATAACTAAAAGAAAGGAAAAGCGAGAAGGCAACATATGCAACTATATGAGTCGTAGTTATACACTTTAGCTTTGACTTGCATTTCTTTACACTAAATCATTTGTGATGGCATTTGATTATGTGCTGTTGCTCTGCCAGATTTCCTGATTTCTGCTGCTGTTGCCGAATTCAAAGGTCCAGTTATTTTTGGTGTGGTTCGCTTGGCTCAAGTGAATATGGAATTGGCTAGAATTGAAGCTAACTTTAGTGGGTTGTCACCTGGAAAACATGGTTGGTCCATTAATGAATTTGGGGATCTAACAAAGGGTGCAGCAAGCACTGGAAAAGCTTTCAATCCAGGGAACAACATGGCTGAACAAGAGGTTTGCTTAATGAAATTACCTTTCTCCAGGTCTTATGTTTCCATTCTTTCGTCATAATCCATCTATTTAAAATTACAGCTAACAGTTCCAGTTTTTTAAAAATCCAATGACAAGGATTGTTAAAGTCCTCATTTTCTCTTGTAGATTAGGTTTTATTAGAGTATGGTGCTGCTCGGTGGTGGACACAGTGGTTGATAGCTTTTGACCGTCGTACTAAGTTTAGATCTACTTAAGAAGCACATTTGTTTAGCTTTGCACGTGCAATGAGGTGCTTTATGAAGAATCCAGTGTGTCTTGGTCCATATTTAATCAATTAATAAATAATGTTCAGTCACTCATGCACAGATTCTTTTTCAAAGATTTGAATATTACTGATTTTAAAAATCCATTTAATACCTTCTAGGACATGCAAAATTTTTAAAAGAGTTTCAACTATATGAGCTACCGAATCCAATTGAATTATTTACTTATTCAATTAGTGAATTTTCAAGTTTGATCAACCCATTTTGAAAATATCAAGTGGATAGGAATCTTGAGAAAGTCTTTTGCTAAGTTGTTCAGCAATTGTAAACAGCACATCAGTAACAGGCTACAGCACATTAGCACTTTCTAGGCCTAAGTGCTTTAGACCCTCCTTTCACAATATTCATTGTAAGGCCAGCACCACCTATGTTTTGAGGGTACGAACACCATTATCAGAATATCTTTAGCTTTATTTCAAGAAGTTCGTTATGGATCATACATATATAGGTCCAGTTTTAAGAAATTTACATTCTGCTTGTGTTGTGACATAACTACATGCCCTTTAGGAAATCAATCTTAACAAATTCAAGGGGTTTTGGGGTGTCACATGGACATAAATGTTTATCTAGTTTCATTGGCTTTGGATGGCACAATTTCATCCTTTAGAACACACCTGTTAAAGAACAAAAATGGAGTCACCTCAAAAATGAATGTCTCAATAACATAACCCAAGAAAGGGAAAAAGAAAAGAACAGAAATGTTTTTGTCACAAATTGGAACTCTAAAGATTATCTGATATAATATGATATGTCCACTTCTTTATGAAAAACAAAATGAACTTACCTCAAATGAATATTGAGCATGTTTCTGGAGGACTTGACTGAAGCTGGTAAAATACTTTTGTTTATTGTTGACTGCATTTGTGCCTCTGAAAATATTCATTCGGATTATAATTGTCCCAGATTTGATTATTCTTACTGATTCCATGACCTATAGAAATTTAATCTTTACCTGATCGTTTCAACTTGAAGAATGTTGCCTATCTACCGGCTCACATTCCTGAAATTCTAGGGTTGAAGAAGAAATCTCTCTCTCTCTCTCTCTCTCTCTCTCTCTCTGAGCATGCGTGTGTGACCATTTGTTTGCATATCTGACTGTAGTTATGAAATTGGTCACTGACTTGGGGCCTGTTGGAGCTGAAGATCTTGTAATCTATGTGATCATATTTCCAGAAAAATAACATATTCAACAACTTGATGCCAAAGTATTTTTATAAATTGGGCATTTTATTTTGCATAATTTCAGTACATTAAGACTTTAGAGTGGTGCATGTCGCTAAACAAGTTCGCCTGCTCTATGGTTGTGGTAGTCTTTTAAATGAATCTGTCAGCATTAATCTAATTCTATAGGGCTTTTTAATGCAATATTCATCTATGAGTGGTTCTATGTTTGGGGAATCTTCTACTTTTACCTTTTCTGGCCTCTTTCCTGTGATTTTGACTTATTGTTTTTTGTGTCATGGTAATTATGTTCCGACTCTCCTCACCTGGTGATTCATTTTTCAGCCTCTGGGCGACCTGGGAACATTAAATGTTGATGAGAGTGGTGAGGCCTTTTTTTCGGGTGTTAAACAGAAGCTGAGAGTTGCTGATCTCATTGGGCGATCCATAGCTGTGTATGGAAGTGAAGATAGATCAGATCCAGGTCTCACAGCTGCAGTGATAGCTAGAAGTGCTGGAGTTGGTGAGAACTACAAAAAGCTCTGCACATGTGATGGCACCACCATCTGGGAAGCAACTAATGCAGATTTTGTCACTAGCAAAGTTTGATGATGAACCACCTACACTTCCTTCTGACTGAAATTTGTACCACTTTTTATGTGTCTATCAAATTAAAGAGTGTAGCTCTTGGGATCTCTTAAGGAGAACCGAGGTATTTGTATCTGTGTGTCATTATCTAAGCTAGTGTATAGTTCTTGGAATCGTGTATTTTCTAAAAGCAACGACTTCATTATGAAGAACTGAAGAGATAAAGAGTTCCGTCTAATAAAACAGATGTCCTACATGTTTATTTTGTTGGCTCCATTAGTTACGTTCTGATCACTTAGTTGAGAACTTCTAAAGTCACCACTATTTTATGTTTATGCACTTTTGGGATCTTGGCAATAATATGTTATAAGTTCCTGTAAAGATGGAAGTGGGTGAAAGATGTTTTGGGTTGCTTTTGTAAATGTTTCTTCATTTTGTTTGCGATTGTGATTGGTGGAATTTATGGGTTCGTGAACGTTCTCTCATTTATGGTTGCCTCTCTTTGAGCATCTATATTAGGGGATTGCTAGTTCATGTGACCAAAGAATTGGGGATTACTTATAGGAGATTGCTTTGTAAATCTCATCCGTGTCATTGGCTAAGGGTCGGGTTTTCCCAATAATTGGGGGATTCATTTGGAGACATACTCGAGAATCGTCAAAAGCGGGGAGAGGAAAGACAGCAGGCCTTCCCGTCTGATGAGGGATACTAGTTTAGGAATAAGTTTCTACCAACCTTTCAAGGCACAATGCTTTCTAAGGACTACAGGAAGCAAGAAGTTATTTGGATGACGATGAGGGATACTAGTTTAGGAATAAGCTTCTCCCAACCTTTTAAGGCACAATGCTTTGCAGGACTACACGAAGCAAGAAGTTACTTGGATGATTTGTCTCGACTGTTCTTAGTGAAAATGGTAGTTTAGCCAAAATTACGGTGTTTGCTGAACTTGGATCTTTTAATGCAAAATGCGGTCTTTCGTAAACATTTTCATTCGTTTTCTTGTTGAAGGTGTTTTAAGAGCAAAACCAACTGCTTGGGCATGAGCATGAGCATTTTAAAAAATAAAAATGATTGAGCATGAGATTGGACTGGAGTCCGAATGTCAGAGTTGGAGCGCTTTTAAATTGTCTGGGTTTCATAATTATACTGAAGTAAGCATCTTACAGTTAAGATTGAAAATCGGATAATAAATGAGTTAGAGTTCAAGATTGATTTTTAAGCTTGTTTAATAAAAGAATTGATTTTAGACCATGTTTGAATTGACTCGTACGTGTTTATGACTAATATGTGTTAATGATCTCGTTAAAAAATATACAAATATTTATAAGCGTGCAGCAAATCATGAACAAACCAAAATAATGTCCTAGAGGAGCCAAGGTTGAACGCGAATATGATATCGAGATTTTTTTTCCTTTTTTTCTTTTTTAATTAAAGGAGCCAAGGTTGACCTTCTAAATAATGATGAGTAAGTTCGAGTTTGATCCTTTCATTACGAGCCCAAACTGAACTCACAAATCAATGAGCTAATTTAAACAAGCTGATTTTTGACTCGATTCAGTTCACTTGCAGCCCATTTATAACGGGCTTCGTGTTTATTGCTATTTAAAAATAATATTGGGATCCTCGAGGGCCCAACTTACAATGGGCTTCATTCATGTTAATTGCCATCTCTTATGTAATTTTCGAAGCAACTAACTCACTGTAAGAAGGGTCATTTGTCCCACATCGAAATCGGATGGGAAAGTAATTGGATATAAATGGATGGGTATGCAGCATTACCCAATAGTTCGAGTTTTTGGGTAAATGGGCAAGCACCCACCCGTTACAGTTAGTATCAGAGCCAGACCCAATCCTTGATCCGGTGTCATGCCCAGCGTCCAGTCCAGAAGGCGTTCGGGCTAGCATCCCGGGTAAGCAGGGTGACCCGAACCGCAATAAGGGCGTTGCGAGTTAGATGGAAAAGTGATTGGGTATAAATAGATAGGTATACAGCATTACCCAATAATTTGAACTTTTGGGTAAATGGACAAGCGCCCACCCGTTACACTAACCCATCATAAAATGATTAGTGAAACCGAATTCTATTACCCAAATACCCTTGCAACAATACACCCCTAGGTTCCATTAGGATCAACCCAAAAACAATGAAAGTTAACCGCTAAGTTGATCTCAATATTTTAGGGATTTTCTCTCAAATTATATTTTCAAAACAACTTAATGACGACGACCTTCAACTTAACCAACAAATTGACTTGTTCGCCAGTCGCTACACCCTCTCTCTATATGTATATCTTATTGCCATGTAATATATATTGATATATTTATCAGTATATTTTCGGGTAGAGGGTTACATTTAATCTTCAACAAACACATTAAATTTTAGATAGGCATGCAGACAAAGGAGTCTCAACAGCCACCAAAACATAAAGCAATGTGCATGTTGCCATGTCCCACTCCCACCCATGGCCACCACACCAATACAATGGTGTGGCTTGAAAAAGACCAAACTGTGATAGATATATATACGTGTATATGCGTGTCTATACTCTGTGTGTGTGTGTGCATATAAATAAGAGAGAGAGTTATCACATGCATAAAGTTTACTTCTACAGAAAAAGAAAGCCAAACAACAAAACCAGCCTGTGCAACTTAAAACGGATGGGAAATAATACAATAATTGCAAGTTGGAGCAGATTCGTTGACATAAATGGTTAGATCATTCAAGAAAGAAAGAAAAATGATATAGTAGTCCAGACATGATGACATTACAGTGATGTCATCCCTCGCTCATTAAATTTCTTACTTTGTATCACAACTCTTCAAAAGATCATAAAACCAATTTTCTAATAGTTTCTTATCCTAGTTGAGTGAATTACATGAATCATGCTTACCCTTTTCCCCAAGACTCAGTAAAGACTTCGCCAGATGAGTTTTATGAAATCTTCAGATGTGGTGGTAAGTTAAAGGTTTTGGCAGGTAACATAAACTATTTGAACAGAGAGCTTTAATCACCAAGGATAGCATATAAGTTCACCAAAATATAACAAAGATTAGCTAGCAAATGAAAACCACAAACTGACTCAATGTTCTCTTTGAAACCGGATTCAATTCATAAGAAGTAATAGAAAGAACTGTTAACCAAGTGATCGGAACTAATCAGAGTGTAACACAGGTCCACCAACCAAGTGGGAGTTCATCCAGAAAAATAAAACCTCCAACTAAATAGAAACAAATGTCGACACAAATTGCCCAAGTTCTTAAGCTTTTGTGTAGGAATTTTTTTATTGGATCTCTCATAAAAGGAGATTTATCAAAATTTCAGAATCCTCTCTGCGATTGGCACCAAGTTTTTATCAAGTGAAACCACAAAAAATAATAATAATATTAATAATAATAATAAATCAAAGGAAAAGCAAGAATAATATTTAGTAACAGAATATGGAAATCATGATATCTCAGCACAATTATAATCCAACAATAGAGAGAAAAGCTCAGATCAAGCCAATTTACCCATGCTCTGCTATTTTGGCAAAAAGGGAAATTAATTATAAATAAATAAATAAATAAATAAAAAGGCATTCTGATAAGATTCCAGCTTTTCCCTTCTTTTCTATTTTCTTGCTAAACATACTGATCATCACAGATGATATTGTGAAGACATTTACAGAGGTTACATTTAGATGTCCATCGAATTATAATGTTTTGTTGCTTTTTTCTTTTTCTTTTTCTTTTTTTTTTTTTTTTCAACATCATTTTCAATACATATCCATTATTGTGAAAATTGAAAAGGGTCTTTATATCGGTGTTAGCTAGCTAGCTAGCTTGGTGAAGTCCTTAATAGTCATATCAAAGGTTAGAATCCCATCTTAAACTAGAGTGTCGGATTTATATGCGTAGGGGGGAGGGCTAACCCCCAGGTATAGTCCATCATCCAGATAAGGCAGCCGTTACATCATATGTTTAGTAAAACTTTGAACCCATCCTAATCTAGAGTGTCGGATTTATATGTGTCAGGGGAGGGCTAGCCCTCAGGTATAGTCCATCATCCTGATAAGGCAGCCGTTACATCATATGTTTAGTAAAACTTTGAAACAATGTATATCTACGGGGGATTCAATAATGTCGACTCATTTTGGACCAAGATAATAAATAGCACGTAGCCATCCAATACCCCATCAGAAGACCAAAGAAACCCTAGTTATCTTCACAATCTTACACAATCTAAAATTGATCTTAACAGCCATGAATGAAGCTAGAAAATGTAAGCCCATTACAGATCCAAGTATAGATACTTCAGAACACTGGGTTATATATTTAGGATGGTACTCATTCAATCTTTATAGTTCGTGTGATTACATTGCATTAAAACAACTAACAGAGTAAAGCAGATAATTGAAATGAAAGGATAAGCAAAAATAGATTTCTGATGCAAAATGTTTTAAGCAGAAAATGAAAAGCTTAGCAAAATCATCTAGTACAATTTGTGCAAAAGCTCTGTTCAGATCAATTCGTCCATGCTCACTCGGTAGCTCAAAAAAAAGAAGTTCGGAATCTTATCAATCCCGGGTTGGAGTTATGGTTACAAGAGTCAATATTTATATTAAATAGCAATTTCTTATCATTTCCTCTCCTTTTCCTTTTCCCATAGCAATTTCGCTGATCAATAATTATATTAAACCCTAAGCGTTATACTCCTAGTGGCACATGCGGACATGGATTAGAACTGGCTTGATCCATTTTTTTCTTATATCCTATTCTACGGAAACTTATTATCGAAAATTGCAGCCATTATGGGAAAAAGTAAAAAAAATAAAATCATCGTGAAAGCAAAAATTAAACTATGTGCATGATATAATCAAGCCATTAATACAAGCACAACTAAATCTGCGCTTTCTTCCTTTATTTTGGTTCCTTAAAAATCTAAATTGAAGCACAATAACTACATGATGAAACCCAATAAATAATAAAGGCGGCTAAAATCTTCAATATGAATATAAAAGAATGCCAATATACATATACACAAAGTACAGTAAAAAAGAATGGAATTGCATAATGAACAGCAAAGTAACAGGGCTTATTGTTGACAAAATGAAGTGGGGTGATTTACCCCCCACATATTACAAGAAGAATAGTATATAAAGAACCAGTCTTTCTATGCGTTTCAATTGCAGGGGAAAGTGAAAGTGAGAGAGAGAATTTATTCTCTAAACCACTTCAACGAACAAGAATCAAATGGAAAAAGAGCAAAAATTGACCCTTTTTCCATAGTTCATCATCCTATACAATTGAATCATCAATTCACTTTACCTTCTATTCCAATTCTCTTTTTTCCCCACCATTGAGAACCTTTAATCAGAGTAAGATAACAAAAAATAGAGCATCATATTAAAGGAAAATAAGGCGCACCGTGTATTTATCTCCGGCCACTTTGAGCCAACTCAATTATTGCTTTCAGTGAGCTGTAGCTTTTGATCTCTTCTTCGCCTCGCTGTAAAGCACAACACCCATGACCGTCACCCCAAACCCGGATATCCCCATCACAGTCACCGGATTCCTAAATATCATAACGGAAACCACTGCTGCCACTGCCGCTTTTGCATTCCCCAAAACCTGCAATGTCAGAGCGCTGGTATGCTTGGTGACCAAAAAATTGGTCAAGTTCACCAAATACGCCACAGTCGCATTGGCAAACAACAAGAACACAATAAACGAGTCACCCTTTGCCTTCTCAATCGTAATTGCAAGCACATTTCCTTCTATATACAAAGTAAACGGAAGCAGAACCAATGCCGCCATTGGAGCCATATAGAGTAGAAGATTCATAGAGTTCAATTTCTCTGCTTCAGAGCTCAGGAGTAGACCCTGTACCACCGATTTCAATGCTCGACCAGCCGTTGAGCCAATACAGACCAGGAATCCAAAAAAGTGAAACAAAGGCTCGCTATTACTAGCCAAAACTATACCGAACACGACTGGTAACAGTGAGAGGTACACCTCCGCCGATTCTTTCTTGCAGGTGATCAAGAAAGCGAAGATCGCAGTGAAGAAGGGAGTGGTAGCTCCGATTGCTTGATTGAACGAAACAGGAAGGTACCTGTACGGTTATAAATAGCTAAATTACAACGTCAATGTTGAAGTAGATCGTATAATTTCATTGCTGCAATTATGCACTATTGAAAATCCCCAAAAAAAACTACGCATTATTGAAGAAAATGGATTACGAGAATGCGTTGCTTGAACTACTAATTCGTCTGTGTGTATATGTATATGCATTTGTCAATCTATTAGAATTCATAACCAAATGTGTTTTTTGTTTCAATCAATTATCAACTGTACCTGAGGGAGGTGTTGCCGCAGACGACGGAGAAGCAGAAGATGACGCTGAGGGCGGCGATCTTGAAGAACTGGCGGCGGGAGAGGATGTGCTGGAATGGAACGATCTGGAGCCATCGGACGGCGGCGAAGCTGTAGGCGGCAGAGGAGAGCATGTGGAGCATTGTGAGGAAGATAGGGTACCGGTAACCATAGATGCTGAGGAGGTACTTGTTGAGGAGTAGAACTCCGATGTTAGAGAAGTACCACGAGGCGATGCTCGCCGCCGTCACTACTGTCGGTGAGAGTATCGATCGGCCGCCGGCTCCGCCGTTCCGTACGTCTCCCGGCGGCGTGGCGGGAATGTCGAGCACTTGCTCCGTCGTCTCCAGCCGCGGGTTGCTGCCCCGCCGTGTGGTCCATGACTGCGCCTCCACCATGGGCAAAATGGGAACAAATGTGAAAATGCTTCACTTTCTCTCTCTATATCGCTGTGTGTGTGTAGGTTGAGAGAGAGAGAGAATAGATCTGGGAGGGAGTGAACACTACACACTTGTGAAGATGTGATGGGGTATGTGTGAAGAAACGGAGAGGTTGGGAATATGGTGTAGATCTGATCGTGCGGTGGATGTTTAGATTTGAGGGAGGTGGGGGTTTTTGAACCGTTGCATGGAAAAAGGAGAACAAAAATAATTAGATTCGCAATTTGTGTATGTGATTGTATATGTCGTCTAATTTATTTTGTTCCCGTGTCTTTTGTTTTGACTCTTGAGTGAAAATAACATCACGTGAATTGCACGCGATCCGGCTAAGTGCTGTTGGCTCTAATTGACCAATGGAGAGGCTTTATCAGCCATTACATTCTCTAAACCGTTTCTGGATACTATATTCTTGCGATTTTGTCTGATTCTTTTGTACACGTTTTGTGCTGCAGTTTTTTACACACGAACGAAATCGATTGGGTGTATTTGGTCAATGGAAATACAGTGAAAAGTGAAGGGAAATAAATTTTTTTTCTGGATAGTATGAAAATTAATAAAAAATTATAATAATTTGTTTTAACTATTCATTTTTTTTTATTGAATATGACAATAGATCTAAATAAATTTATATTTAATAAATATTTATATTTTATAAAAAATAAATTTAATATAAAATTTTAAATAATAAATTTTTGTAAGATATGTAGAGATGTAATTATTATAATATTCCTACAAAAAAATCACACATAAACTCAATTTATTTTAGAAAGTGGAAAGGGGATATAATTGAACTTTCACATAATTTTATCAAGAAAGCAAAATTTTTTTTTTTTTTTTTTTTGTAGAATTTTTTTGGAAAAGTTGAATGGTTATGAAAAGTTACTTTTTCACAAAAAATTTCTTTTATTGCTAACTACATTCGAAAAAAGTTTGGAATTTTTTGGTTTCATTTAAATTGACTTCTTTGCATTGACCCTGCCATTTTAACAGAGGGGATTGCCTTTGGTGAATTTTCGATTGGACTCCAATTATTGAAGAAATATTTGATGAACAATGTTACACATCTCCAATTTTAATTCGTGATTGTATATCGAATCTAACATAGTAATAAATGTCCTTTATTTTAATAGATATTATATTTTATTTTTTGAACAATGCTTGTCTTAGTCCATAAGTAGGAATTGCCTACTTATGCTGATATGGATCACTAATAACACAGCACATGTCAAAAAAAAAATTATAAAATAAATAGGAATCAATCGGGTCTTCTTACGGGTGATCCAAAAAGAATCGATTCAAGTCCACAATCTTTCCTCCAACAGGTTCCCTAACTTGGCTCATCTCTCTGGTTTTCGACACCTCTATTCTAGATTGACCTCATAACAATCTCAAAATACTACCAAACTTCAATACATTGACATTTCAAGTTGCAATATTTCTGGCAAATCAATGCTTATGACAGTTCTTCAGTCACTCAAACATTTAGATTTGTTGAACAACCACTTTTAATCAATCAAGACAAGTTCCAAAAATTTGGTAACTCTTCGCTCATTTACGCTGGTACTATTTTTAATGCTTAAAAAATCCCAATTTCAGCAAACCCACTTCACAAATCACTCCAAAAACTCAAACCATCAAGAAAAAGGATCATCCACACATATTAGAAAACAAAAAAGACACCACAACCACTCAGATCACCCAAACCCCCTAATCACCAATCTTTGTGGCGGACATCAAATCGGTGACGTGCATTTGGAGGGTACAAAGATTTGGGAAACCTTCTCCAAGGAAATCGTAGAAACAAAAAATACAAATAGCCCAATTTCACTACCTCTTAATTGGGAAACTGCACAGGCACTGGAAAGTGAGAATCCGGCAGTTTTGTTCAAAAAACCAGTCTGAAATCCGGCGTGAAGTAACTCTAGCTTGGCGTCAATTGAGGTCGATCATCGTCTTCAGGTAAAGGATCTATTGGTCAAGCGATCGATGAAATGTGAAATCGACGGCAAAGCACCCGATCAATACCGCTGCCGACAACGTCACTATAAGTCAGCAGATCGTGTTTGCCTTTGAAAGTTAGAGCGCAAGGTAGAGAAAAAAAAAAAATTTATTTCTTTTTGGATCACCCGCAAGAATACCCGATGGATTGATGTTTATTTTTTAAAAAGATGTATGACTTGTGTAGTGTTATTAGTGGTCCATGTCAGCATAAGCAGCCAATTCCTGCTTAAACGCCTAAGGCAAGCATTATTGTTATTTTTTTTTTATGGAAAATGATATACTTCACAATTTTGATTTGTAATTTTATATTGAATTAGGTATCTGCTTATTTATCAACTTTATGTGTTTTAAAAACAATCTTTTTAATATAGGAAATATATCGATATGAGCATCTTCATGATCGATCGAGGTTCAATCGATCCAATAGACCTTGTGAAAAGTAGGCCCTAGGGGTCATTTGGATCATTCACATCAACAGACCCCCCCCCCCCTCCCCCCCCCCAAAGTCCCAGTCGTCTTCCCCATTTCCAGGGAACCTCCGGGGACATCCAAAGCCCCAAATCTTCCATCTCCAATCTCCTAATATAGAAAAGAAAGAAAACCTTAAATAGCATAATTCAATTTTGATCGCCTTTGTTTTGGAGACTCTTTATATTAAGAAAAATGTTATACTTCACGAATTTTGATTTGTAATTTTATATTGAATTAGGTGGCTACTTATTTGTCACATTTATGTGTTTTAAAAGCAATTTTTTAATATAGGAAAGATTTAGAAAAAAGAAAAAAATTTAATATAACTTAATAACTTGAATTCAATTTTGTCTATCTTCGTTTGGGGGACCATTTATATTAAATCTTCAAATAAATGATTGACCCATTTCTCGTCAATAAGAACTTTAATTTATATAATTCACTTAAAGCTTTTTGTAATTGTATTTTGATTTGGTATTTTATAATTACAATTTAAATTTTAAAAAAATACTTAACAAAGATATAGAGTAATTAAAAAAATATAAAGAGTGCAGAAGATACACACACTTGTATATACAAGTAGAGAAAAACAAATTAGAGATAGAGAGGTAAACTTATTGTCATTGTTGGTTATTTTCTTTTCATTTCATCGACAATTCGAGTATTTTTTTTATTTTTTTTATTAACATGGGGTGTCCGAGAAGGCACGAACCCTTAGGACCCCTCACGACCCAACTAATCCCGTAGGACACGAAAGGCTCCCTATCCGGACCGGATAAGTCACTACAGGAACAGTAAAGGCTAGCCACAAAAAACACCCAGCTGGGACTCGAACCCCAGACCTAGGGGATTGTACTTGGACATGTCATATCTAAAAGGAGTATTAAAGTGGATAAGGCCAAAGTTGAGCTCGTTTCCGAATTACCTCCACCTTCTACGGTGAGAGAAATCTGCTCATTTCTAGGACATATCGGCTATCATATTTGATTGTATTTAATGATATATATCTATTTTACTCCATATAACTTTTATATATGTTGTGGAGTGTGATTGTTTTCTTTTTCTCCCCCACCATAATAGCTTCCAGAAAAATGCAAGCATATCAGGTTCAAACCTATTACATGAAACATTTATACGCATCAGTAGACTACAGGAGGCTGTAACCCTACCCAACGCGCCAACGGACGCCCCTACGCGCATCTGACGCGCCTGTGAAGTTTCCCAGTGCGTGCTACGCACTCCCATGTGCCTGCACGCACTGGTGGGAGGTTGCAGCGCGTCACACACTCACTTAAAGACCCTTTATTTTGACTTGTGACTTTTAAATATGTTAAAAGTATTATTGTCCTACATCAAATTCAGATGGAAAAAAACTTTGTTATAATTTGGACGGATATGCAACACTACGTAATTGCCTTAATTTTTTTTTATTAAGGGGCGGTAAGGGCTTTAATTTTCTATCAGGAGCTTATATTGGCTCTCCATAATTAATTTGCTCCATCCCATTTTTCTCTTAAAATTAATTACAAAAGAGTCCCTACATCACACCATGTCTAGTTTTTATATTTTCAATACTGTAATTGCCCTCCCTATATGAATCATCTAATTCTTTTTCACCTGTCATAGAATTCTACTCCTTCCGTTCCGTATTAGATGTTCATGTTTAGAAATTGAAGTTTTTAAGGGGACATGCAATGAATGCATTGTCCCCTTTTAAAATTACTAACTTGTCCTTCTTAGTTTAAATATGTATAGTTACTCAATTTGAATTTTTTTGAAAATATAAAGGACAATGAATGATTGGAAAAATAAGATTTTTTTGCTTTGATTTTTTAAAGTGGACAACTAACTTGGGACATCAAAAAATGAGATAGTAGACTATTAATATGGGACAGAGGGGTTTTATTTTATCATGGGATTCTTTTAGAATTCCAACTCCTTTTTAAAATTTTTTTTTAACCTTTCTTAGAATTCTAATTGATTAATGTTTTCTCTCACATTCTATCTTAGATTAAAATTTGATAAAAAGCTAACATCAGGTTTCCATTTTGGATATTTTACCGTCCACATGCACGATAATAAAACAACAAAGTAGTTTATTGTTACTCAGATAACAACTCGAATGTTTGTATAATCATTGTACATACTTATTTTGGTGTGCGGGTGTGATTGTGAGTGAGCAAAAGATGTTTTTTGTAATGTCAAAAAGAATATTGAGTTGTCAATCAAATCATTTGTTATATAATATGATCAATTTTGTGTGCTTATTTCATAAACAAAAAATTATAAATTGGCAAGAGATTTTTTTTCATGTAATATATGTTTTTGATTTTTTGATTTTGATTTTTTATGTTTGTGCTATTGTCTTGCTTCTGTTGTTGAGTGTATAGGTGTTGTTTCAAATTTGTTGTTGTAGTTTGTTTTTGTTGGAATTCGGGAGATTTGTTTGTGTTGGATGCTCTTATTTGTACATTCTTTTCATCCACTTGATTATCTTAAGCAAAATAAATAAAAATAAAGTTCGTAACTAACCATAAAACCAAGAAGTACTCTGATCTATTTTTATTTTACTTAATAGGGAAGGGCAATTTTGGTATTAAAATTATAAAAAACCAAACGTTGTGTAATGTAGAAACTCTTTTGTAATTTCACTTGAAAAGAGAAAATAATAACAGTTTTTTGTTTTCCTTAAAATTGAT